TAGATCAAGTGAATATTCTATCAGAAATTTATGAATAAGAGTTTTTATTTATTTTATATTTATAATTATTTTAATTAACACTGATGAATTTATGTTTGTTAGGAAAACTTTTAAACAATTGAAATCAACATTTCGCAACAGTTACTACAATTAACCATTTTATTATTCATCTAGAAAGCGATTTTGAAAGTGTCAATACACTTACTTGTTGTGAGAAGTCTTCTCTGAATTTACAAAGAGTATAAAGTATTGTCTTTATAGAAAGAAATGCACTAATACGAGAGTTTATTTATTTACCCATTTGTTCAAATTCATTTGCTGTTGTTTCATCAAATGTTTTGGCAAAAAAGATACCAGCATTATTGATTAAAATATTAACTGGTCGATTTCCATGATATTGACAAGCTTTTTCAATTGCTTTTTGTATATCTAAATACGATCCACTAACATCAACAGAAAGACAAAGTAATCGTTCGTTATTATTTGGAGCTAAATCTTGTTGGCATTCATCAAGACGTTTTTGATTTCGTGCTAAAATTGTTACACGTGCTTGATGTTCATTTAATAATTGTTTAGCTAATTCTTTTCCAATACCACTTGAACCACCTGTCACAACAATATGAACATCACGAAGGTTCAGAAGACATGTTGGTCGATACATAGGACGAAGTAAATATAATAGAACCAATAGAATTAGAATTAATGTAATAGCACAAATAATAATCCACATCTTTTTTTTTTTTTTTTATAAAATCTAAAAATCAGCAAATCTTATGAGTAAAGGAAGAACATTAGTATGGATGACTTTCTAAATTTTCATGAGTTTCTTCATACGCAATCATCTAAACATTTGAATGTAAAAAATTATAGTACTTGAAAAGAAAAATTAATTTTCATTACTTATTTAATCTTTAATAATTAAGTAATCATGCAAACTAAATAGAAATTGCTACTAAAATATCATCAAACTATCGAATAATATCGACTAGGAAAAATTGCTGGTGTAAGAACTTGTTTTGAAAATTTCATAATTATATCAAACCATTAAAGCAACAATTACAGTAAAGAATGATGATGTTATTGATGAAAGAATTGATAAGCTTTAAATATTATGAAATCAATTGTTCGAAATCGACCAATCTGAAAGACAAGGTTTCAATCAAGGCAATCAAACAATAATAATTTTCATTTACTTTTATTTTCTTACTAAATATTTACTACTAACAACTAGATATCTATATCACCCAGACTCTAATACCTGTTTTTTGGTGGTCGTCTCTTAATCAAACCGGCTATTAAACTGCATTGCTAGGAATTTTTCAGAAAAAGAACGTACATCAATAGCTGAAAAGTTAAGACAAGGAATTTACATGTAGACAGACTTATGCTTTCTGAAATATCATTTATTTTATTGATTCTCATTTATTGAAAATATAAATAAAGTCGTAATCAATGCTGTTTAAAAAACTATCCTGATAATACATCGATCAAACTCAAAACTTATTGTATTCCATTACTATAGGCAAAATATTTAAAAAATTCATTTTAAAGTTGAATTTGCTGAAAAATAACTACAATATAAGTTAAGACGAAAACAAACACTCTCTAAGTATATATATATGTCCAGTTACATATTGTCTAATTAAATATGCTTTCGGAGTATTTTTAACTTTATATTATTGTTCTTAGGTATGTTGAAATGAAGCACCATATTCTAAGTAATGTTACAGAGCAATAAATACGAGGAAAAAATTCGTAGAAAAAAACTTTCAGGTACATTTAGGTGCGAGTGCCTCTTGTCTCGTTTCTTTTAGACGCGGATACATATTTCAACTAACGCCTATGATAAATTTTTCCATGATACTCAAAACAATGATGATACATATTAAGATAAATTTGCCATAAATCAACATGTATAACTGATTTTTTCTTACACGACTTTTTTTAATATTTTCCCATCAACAAACTCTATTATTAGACGTTCAATTTCAAATAAATGTTATAAAAGATAAAATTTATGATATGATATTAAGCAGAAAAGCTTGTTAACTTTTTTTTTTTTTGTTCATTTAGAACATAACGAAACAAATATCTTTCTGATATTGTACAAAATTTTAAAAAAACCCATTCAACATTATTCAAGAATAATTATTGAATTTTCAGACTATAAAAATAAAAGAATACAAAACAACATATTTAAATATAAAAATTAACCATATACATCAGTTCGAGAACGTTTAGAAGATCGTGATTCAGTAGTTGGATCATCTGTTTCCTAGGAAAACAAAAATATATATATTAAAAATACAAATTCTCTTAAAACTTTTTGATGATTTAAATAAACTTTGGTTTCAATGAGTAGATTCAATCATATGAAAATTGTTTGATATGATGAAAAACTATACAATATATCGAGACTGTGTACTAGATAAATACTTCTTTTGATTATTTTTAAAAGATAATATCATTCGTTATCTTCTGTCTAAAACAAAATTCTATAGTCGAAAGAATAATTGATTCAACACAGCGCCACATCAAGTCATGTCGTATGATAATGTTTGGTCCTTGCTTTAATCGAAAAAAAAAATATAGTGCATGAAATGCAGTAATCTATAAGTTTATGCGAGAAAGTTGTCATTTTATTTATAGAAATATGTTTTAAATATTAAATCTAATCTTTAGAAACTCTCAAATTCAATGAAGATCTTTCATAAAAGGATATGTACCATGTTTGTCACAGTTTCGTATTATTATCATTTATACAACAATATCTCTACTTAGAATCAATCCGATAATTTTAGTTTAGTTCTGAGAACGAAAAAAAAAAAAGGTTAATTATTCTTACAATTGAATTTCGTAAACGTTTTTCTTTCTTATTATTATCCCAATAGAAATGAATATGTTGAATAATAGTTTGCATTTTATCAATAAAAATTTGTATACGGTTTATATCATCTTGTTTAACATCATTTTGACAACAAGTTCGTTGTACATATGGAATAATAATATTTTTAAATTCATCAAGACAATTATTTACAAGTGTTTGACTAGTTGATGGAATTGATAATGTAACTGTTAATTCATATCGATATTCATTTAAATGATTGACTAAAGAATCAAATAATGATCGAATTATCATTTGATGTTCATTTATATGATATAAACATAATGATCGTTGACAATGTGGACATGTTACATAAATTCGTTGACGACAAGAAAAAGATTTATCATCATCATTTGATATATGTTCACAAAAACGAGATCGTGGTGATGGAATTTGTCGAAGACCTTTTCCAATGGATGATACACGCATGTTATTTTTCTTTATCAAACGAAATTTCTTTCGATGAGAGAGAAGTAAGTAAATATATAGCAGAAAAGAAATACGAATCAAGTCAAATAACAAAAGAGGGCGCTATGATTTTGGATATTTAATTAAAACTACAATTGAATATTTGATAGACAAATAACATATAATAATGTTTGCTGATTTAGTGATTAGATGATTAACATTGATAGGAAATATTGAATACGTATCATTCGTTAATCGTAATGATTATTGAGTATTTAAATGTATGCAACAATAACTATTGAATACGTTAAAAAAGTATTTTCTATTTAGTTTTATATGAGAAGAGATAGCGTTTGACAGTACTATTATTTCCTTGTTCGTATCACAATATAAAAACTTGATGAAATAAAAATTAAATAAATAGTATCAATTTCTTACACATAATACTATATATGTTCTACAGAAATGAACTTGTTGACAATAAATATAAACTGTTTGAAGCTCTAAATAGAAACGAATTATTTATAAGCTTGGGACGAACTTCTAACTTGATATTGTAATCCTATTCAATAGATATACAGATGTTGCAAAAATTATTAGCATGATTTTGTTTTTCGATGAAAAATAATAAAAATAAGGGCTTCCCAAGATTTGGTGGATATCAAAAGAATCGACATGTCTTCTAGTATTTACTCAATAGAAACCAGAATTATTGACTGAACCTATCCAAAGTTACGGGTCAATCTTTGAAAACCATGCATATTTTTTAAGCAAAATTTCTTCGTACGATACCTATGAGGGTGAAATTTTGGTCCTTCATGGGTTAAAAGAGTTTAATGATAAAGCCATTAGGTAAAACAAAGAATTAGTAATAGATGCGTAGTATTTGTTTTTTTTTTTTGAACTGTAATTCTATGAAATAAGGAGATTTAGTTATTGAAAAGCGCTGAACCTTTATTCTGAAATATTTTCAAGAGAAAATCTGAAATTAGGATCTTTTTCAAAAACTAGGGTATGAATAGGGATGTGAAAGTAGGTGTTTCAATGAAAAACTGATATACGCATCAACACCAATAACGATACACACGTCCAATTTTCTGACAAAGATCCTAATTTCAGATTTTCTCTTGAAAATATTTCAGAATAAAGGTTTAGCGCTTTTCAATAACTAAATCTCCTTTTTCCATAGAATCACAGCTCAAAAAAAAATACTATGCATCTATCACTAATTCTTTTAACCCATGAAGGACCAAAATTTCACCCTCATAGGTATCGTACAAAGAATTTTTGCTTAAAGAATATGCATAGTTTTCAAAGATTGACCTGTAACTTTGGTTAGGTTCAGTCAATAATTCTGGCTTCTATCGAGTAAATACTAGAAGACATTCCGGCTCTTTTGATATCCATCAAATCTTGAAAAGCCCTTATTTTGATTATTTTTCATCGAAAACAAAATCGTGCTAATAATTTTTGCAGCATCTGTATGGTCAGAAAACTAGGACTACATACTATTATTCCCTTTCAAAGAATGAGATATATCTTGAACTTGCATTGTCATAACCATAAATAAATAACAATCCGTTCCTCAGCGACCCCTAGATCTTACATTACGTAGTACTTATAAATAATGTTTGCTTTAACCAACTATTGAATTAGTTAATCACTCGTTATTTATACAACAATTTAATTTTTTTTTCTATACATAAATATGTTATCACCATCTTCTTCTATTGCACGCGGATCATTTTTTTTATTAGCTCCACTTGAATCACTTCATTGTGAAGATGTTAAAAATATTACTTCAATAGAAGAACTCAAGAAAACTAAAATTGATGAACAATTCGTTCGATATTGTATTGGTGAATACAAACCAGCTATTGTCACTGCAAATTTGTTTAGTTTCTTTCGTTTTACGGATAAACAAGCTTATCTGATTATTATTGATAAACGATCTGATTCAACATCTGAATTACGACGTTATAATTTTTATGGATTATTAGATACTTATGGTAAAGGTAAAATCGTTATATCATCTTCGACACTTACATCTGAACAAATTAAAAAAAGTATTAATTTAACAAATGTATTGATAAATCAAGGTCAAGCATTTGTACTTGAACTTTTTCAATTTTCTGAAGATTATGATGAATCTCAAGATTGGTGGATGCGTGGTATTATTTATGAAATTGTAGTTGCTTCTTATCAAGATTCAAATAATGATGGTATTGGTGATATTCAAGGATTAAGACAACGTCTCGATTATATTCAATCATTAGGTAATATAAATAAGAAAATATTTATTTCAATTTATTAAACTTTTTCTTTTTTTTAATATTAGGTGTTAAAACAATTTGGCTTACACCAATTTATACATCACCATGGAAAGATTACGGTTATGATATATCTAATTTTTGTGATATTGATCCACGTTTTGGTACATTAGATGATTTTCGTCAATTAATAGATGATGTTCATTCTCGTCATATGCGAATTATTATTGATTTTGTTCCAAATCATACATCAAATGAACATCCATGGTTTCAAGCAGCACTTCGTAATGATCCAAAATATGTTGATTATTATATATGGCATAAAGGTAAAAATAATGGAAAAGATTTACCAACAAATTGGGTTGGTTCATCAGGTCAACATATGTGGACATTTTCATCTGAACGAAATATGTATTATTTACATCAATTTCTTGATTGTCAACCTGATTTAAATTTTCGTAATGAAAAAGTTATTGATGAAATGGAAAAAATTTTTCGTTTTTGGCTTGATTTGGGTATTGATGGATTTCGTGCTGATGCTGTACGTCATTTAATAGAAAATGAACAATATAATGATGAACCTTTGTGTAAAGATGCGAAAGATATGGATCCAAATATAATGTATGCTGCTTATGATCATATAGAATCAGCTGATCAACCAGGTAGTTATGAACTTGTACGACGATGGAGAAAATTCTTCGATGAATATGCATATGAAAATAATCGTGATTATATTGTTCTTGTTACAGAAGTAAATAGAATTATAAAGAAAAATATAATTTTCTTTTCTTGAATTCTAGGCATATATACGAGATGTAAAAACAGTAATGCAATATTTTGGTGATAATCGTGAAGAATGTGGTTCAGATGTGCCTATAAATTTTTTTATTACTTATTATCTTGATAAAGATGATGATGAAAAACATGGTTTAGAATTAGATAAAGTATTATCTGATTGGCAAGTAAATTTACCCGAATATGGTTGGTCGAATTGGTGTTTAGGTAGTCATGATAGTCATAGAATTACTTCACGTCTTCCATCAAAAGAACTCATTGATGGATTTTATATGTTACTTCTTTTACAATCTGGTACAGCATTAATTTATTATGGAGATGAAATTGGTATGTAATAATTGTTTGAAAAATAGATTATATTGTTGAACATCAAAAAGGAAAAGATAAATTTTGATATGGATATTTTTAGCAACTAGTTGAATGAATATCGAATGATATTCGAAAAGAAAAAAGATGAGTCAGAGATAGAAAATATGTACGTTAAGTTCCATTTTTCTTCTGATTACCAACTGTTTTCATATTTCTTTGATTTTTTTACTATTTAAATGCGTTAATCTCTATTTTCTTATTAACCCTTTACCCCCGGATGGGCCGTTTTCGACCCATTCATAGAATCTATCTGTTTGAGTTAATAAAACATGGGATCAAGACGATTCTTGAATATTGTGTAGAGCATTCAATAAGCTATAAATTGGTAAATAAACGAAACTTTTTTTACTGTTCCTTAGTTAAGATATCAGTGCTGCAAAATGATGATTTTCCAAAAAAGTGGAAAAAATCGAATTTTTCGAAACAAATTGTTCTCTACCAACAGTGAATAGAGATCTTTCGGAATTTCTGTGGTATATTTGTAGGTGACTGAGTCCATCACGAGGCTAGATTTGTTTCGAAAGCTTTCAGAATAGTTTAGTAGGGAAGATAAGGTAAAGTACACAATGATCCCTAAAGGGTTTCTAAAACATCGCCGTCTCTGCTTATCAACATCTACAAATCAATATAAAAATTTTGTTTCAACCACACGGAATTATAGAGCGAATAGTTTCCTACAAAAAAAATGTCGCCGAGGTCTCTGCGACACTTTTTGATTGAACTACATCAGTTTTCCTGAAAGCATTAGAAAATTCTTTCAATTTTTTTTCCGTACTCCCCCTCAGGAAACGGCTGTAAACCGAAAGATAGTATTTGATTGATCTGTTCATATTTTTGGCATATTGGAGGCATCAATACTCTATTCCAACGGTTCTTTCATCCGTAGCACTTCGGAAACTACTGTCGGGGGTAAAGGGTTAATCAATAAAATTTTGTATATCTATATTGTGTCATTTGGTAGAATACTTCAATCCGCTGTAATCTTGAGGCGAACAAAAGCTTTCATTATTTGGAATGGTCTCAATATAGATTTCTTCTTTATCAATGGTTGCTATCATGAAATCTTTTTGAAGAAAACTTCATTAGAACAGGATACTCACTTGAGAAAATTTCAATGCTTATAATTATAGTTAGTCGAAGATCTCGGTTATGTTTGAATGATTTCTATCAACTCTCATGTAGAGATTATACGAAGATTACTCATAATTCAAGCAAACTAAAACTGTTTGACATGAAACTTTTATTGAAACTAGAAATAGTACTGAGCTAACCTGTTAGCTTCTTCGTATGAAGATCGATGAAGCCTTTGCAATCAGTATTCAACATTCTTGATTTGTGGTCAAACTATGAGACTAGAAGGATAAAGTTTAGATATTTTTTTTTCAACAAGTGTACTATTATTTGTTCAATCTTCAAGTTTTCTTCCTTGGAATATTTTAGGTATGTGTGATCGTCCATTTACACTGACAAATCGTGATGAGATTGTTGATATAACTGCATTTAATTATGGAGAGAAATATTTTAATAAAATGATACGTGATTGTCAACGTACACCTATGCAATGGACAAATCAACAAGCTCATGCCGGTTTTACTTCTTCTACAGCTAAACCGTTTCTTCCTTTATCAGATACATGGCCTGAATTAAATGTTGAACAACAACAGAATGCATTACGCTCTCATCTTAAACTTTTTCAACAACTAGTCAAACTTCGTCAACAATCTCCTTTCTATGGAGGTCATCAAAAGAAAGTAATTGCTACGAAAGAATTATATGCTTTCGTACGTTGGTTTGATAAAGATATTTATTTAATTATCATCAATATGAATAAGAAAGGTCATAATCCAGTTATTAGTGATTTTGTTAAATTACTTAAATGTCAAGATAAAGAATTATTTGGAGAAGTAATTGCAAGATCATGTAATGTACTTGATGATTCTCTAATTGGTAATGAAGGAAATCAAATTAATTTAAATAATTTAATATTACAATCTAGTGAAGCTGTTGTACTCAAGCTACTCACTTCTCCGTCCAACATTTCTTTTTGTCAATAATAAATTTATCATTAGATTATTCGAATGTTATTTTTTTGTATCTATCTATATTATGCTTGTTGAGAATGATGAAACATTTTTTTATGTTATTTTTCAGTTAAAATTTTTTAAATATTCAATAAACTAGCGATAATTTTGTGATTGTCTTTAATTAGTCATTCATAGTTCATTATTTGACTTGTAAAAGCAATGAAATAATGCATAAAATTTATCTTACAGAAGGAAACAAATGAATGACATGTTTATTACACAAACCATAGATAATAAAAACAGAAAACAATCGTATGTAATGAGTATACGTTAAATACTGATACTATCTATGTTTTCTATTTATAATGGTCAGATTTGTAGACAGAAAATTCTGCGTAACTTCAAAATATTCTCTATTAAATTCTCTATAAAATCGCGCAAGCACATTATATATAACCTTAAAAGTAACCACAAGCATTCGACAACATTCAGCTTCTTTAATACAGTAGCCGTAACAATTTTGATCGTAAGCACTTACTCGATTTCATAAAAAGAAGCTAGAAGGCCAAGATAGGTTTTTCACTTCAGACGAGTATATCTCAACATGACATTGAACGCCTCATTCAATAGCATAGCTCTATCTCTATCATCAATAAAAATACCATGTCTAACAATTGTAATTTGCCTGACTTATGAAATAATCTACAGATGAAAGTCGATAGAAATCGTCGAAAAGCGACTAATACCGACGGTTAATTTTAACCATTAGTCTCAAAATTTCACGATCGCAGTCATCGATGGAGAAGACATCCATATGAGAAACGTCTCACAGACTGGAAACTTTCTGGCATCTTAAAATTATAGTGGACTGAAATGTTCTATTCGTAAAACAATAGGAACATGCGAAACTTTATTTGCACATTAAAAAAACGGAGATTAACACATTTAAATAGTAGAAAATGAGAAAAATGTCAAAAAACAAACATTCTTTTGGTCCTAAAAAAAAAGTAGTGTTTTTGTCTTAAGCCTTTTGTACTAAAGCCTATTGACATTGGCTTAGTGCCCTCGATCAGGTTTTAACGAGCTCTATTTGTAGTCCGAGCATCATGTAAATGAATCGAACTTAAGGTACTTTTTACTCGATAGCAAAACTTCTTGTGACTAATGTAACAAGGATACGACTCAAAGCCATAATGATTATAAAAGCATACTTCCGAGTATTTATACATATCTTTTCTGAAAAAGTGATTCTATTTTTGATGATGCTAGATTATTTTTGCAATCAGCTATTTCAGACTTGTCTTTCCATTCAATTGTGAGAAATCTGCATACTTAACCGCTCATGTAATCGTCGATTGATCTCTGCAACTTTAGATGATACATCACTGAAACAGTTCCTTAGTTATTAAAAAGAAAATATATTCCAATTTTAGTTTCAGCTTCTTTTATTTCACAGTCTCAATGCCAGGTATGAGAAGCTGCAAAATTTCGGATTCGGTTCGGTTCCATTTTTTTCTGAGCCATCGAATTTTAAATGAATGATAGTTTTCCGATTGTGTTACATTGTTTCTTTTTTTTTTCTTCAAATCAATTACATACAAATAAATAATATCCTATTGCTTTATAGCTGATAAAAATTTTAATCGACTACTATTATGAAAGAAAATAAATGTTTTATTAATAATAATGTAATCATTCTATCTTTTTACGTCCTACGCATTTACATTCAGCACATGAAACTTGTAGAACAATATTCTTTAATAAATAAATATGAAAAGAATAAAGAATCATTACTTAGATAATATCATAAAAGTAATTAGCTTATCTTATCTTCTGTATTTAACTTATTAAAAATCGGTTCGATTATTATTCCGAATTTATTTCTCATGATATTCATAGAGCTTTTGTTCATACATATAGAACATAATTGTAATTTATCATGAAAGAAAAAAAAATTTTTTTATGAAAAAAACAAAAAAAAACAAAGAAATACTCCAGAGAAACATTTCTTTAGCGCACTAATGTATTTGAATATTTTAAAAGAAAATGAATTGTTAAGTATTTTGTTGTTATTAATGTATAAGATATTATAGAAATTGCGAAGAGGCGTAACCATTAATTGTTGAATGACGTTGAATGATACCTATCTAAGTAATTCATAGATAGTGTTTAATATATGAGATATTAGAAATTTTTTCGATAAAGTGAAATAAACAATTATCTAGATGAGTTATCCTTGAGAACTTACGTATTTGGATTTTTTAGATGTTGAACTTAATTAAAATAAAAATCTATCTAGTTCGAAACAAATGTTGTTTTTTCTTTTTTATGCTACTCAAAAGAATTTATTGATGCTATTTCAATAAAGTTGAAATAAAGATAAAATGGGAATTCATACAATATTAAATATATTCATAATAGAATATGTAAAGAAAAAGTGTTATAAATAAATATATCTCTTTTAATAAATAACATTTTCATTGAGTTCTTTATTATTTTATTTTATTTATAAATCTATATAAGTTTTAAGTCGGTCAAATTCTGAATTTCTTCCAAGAATATTGAAATTATAATTTGACTGAATAAAAGTGAAATGTTACTTTTGATTAGGTTTTCTGCAAAAAAAAATTCAAATTTCAACTTTGTCTAAACGTAAAATGAATTGAACTAGAGATTCATAGATCAAGTTGTAGTTAGTTACAGTGTGAATAACAATAAGTTTTCATCGGACATGTCACAACTTATTTATTGACCCCTGTTTTCTACAATTTTAGTTTAGAATAACACATAATCAAACAAAAACCTTCTACTTTTTTTTTACATGATTATTGTTGTAACGATCCAGGTTGATTGGATTTCATACATGATACTTAACCTTCCCATTTCACTCACTCGTATATTATACATTGTCCTTACCTTTCTATTCTTCTGTCCTTATCCTATTGTTCTCCTGTATCGACTCTCTCCTTGGCCTTATTTCCTCTCTTTTCATCCTCTCTTCTTCTACTTGCGTATATAAGTGTGTGCTATGTATGTAAACGATGCGATTATATGATATAAAGGAATAGAATAAAGTGTAATACCATCAGTACTAACATCCCTTCTATCAAAAATCGTCACAATTATTTTTTTCGTTAAACATCACTGATCCATCTGCTTATCAATCGACGAACATACAATCTAAATAATTCAATACAAGTTGATTTGATATTTAATAAATGTTTAACAGCAAAGTTGTCCTCTAATTTAGCATATTGGCAAACTAATCTATAAAGATCTTTAACATGAATGATACTTTATGAAATAAAAAATAGTTTAGGAACTTTTGTTCAGATTCGAACTGGTTTTCAAGATTAAAAATTAAATTCGAGTTTTTTCCGAGCAAAGTTAGAATTTAACTGAAATCGAATTTTGACTGTAACGTGTATATATATATATGAAACGATAGAATGTCTTCTTTGTTCAATATATATGCGTAGGCCAATATTAAAAATAACTCTTTGCTGAAGTCCGCTTTTTTTGCTTTCTTAATCTTTCTCTATTGTATTCTACGGATGTGCATCTATCTATTTTTATTCCTCTTATATAAGGTTGTATTCTGCATAAGATATGCATGACTAGAGCTGTGAGTAAACTCTATAAGCGTCGTCAACGGGAGCTGTAGTAAGATTAGTCGTGCAATTCATCTCACGCTGTACTCTTACAATCACGTCTTATTCTATTGGAATAAAGTTAGTATTTGATAATATAATGATTAATTATAAATGAATAGAAAATGCTGTAGATAAGACATAAATGAATGGCACGAATCAAAATTTAAAGTTTTTTTATGAGGTGAAAGAAAAAAAAAGAATAAGAATAAGAAAAAAGAGAGAAAGAGAATTTTCTTTTTTCACGCAATTTTATTAGTTCACAAGCAGATGCTCTTATATTTCATTTTCTTATTCATATATATATATATGTTATTTAAGTCCTCCATTATCTGACATAAGCGATCTAGTATTAGTAGATTTTAATAGGATCTCATACAAGTAAATTCTTTTCTATATGGTTGAAGTATCCATTTAAAAAAATTGAATTTTATTATCTTTCAGTAGCTTAATTTTTCCTTCAATTCTAGTATTATCATGTATTTCATGCGCTCTACGTCATTTATAATTGCTTTACTTATGATTATAACATTAGTTCAAGGAAAACCAACGCAAGTACCATCATCAAACAATATCAAAGATTATATTAAACATTTACTCAGTTTAACTGGAATTGAAAATGAATATGAGCGATTTTTATCATTTTTAAAAATTTATCCACCTACCGATAATGCTAAAATGAGAGCACTGTATGATGAATTGTTTTCGACTAATGCTTATGTTTCGGATCGTATTCGATTATATACAAAATATTATACATTAGATGAAATTATGGAGCTTATCGCTTTTTATTCAAGTCCATTGGGCAAAAAATCACTTCAAACTGCTAATGAAATCAATCGACAAATAGAAGATATAATGTTAACTAAAATTAGTGATTATATTTTTACGTCTGCCGAACATGGTTATAATATTCCACTCACTGAGTTTTAATGAAAAGAAAAAATTTTATGTAAAATTCTCTATTTTTTTTTGAAATAAATTAACAACAATTGTCGGTATTACAAATAAATATATTCAATGGATTACACAATGTTTATCATAGCCTATTCAAATAGCATAGAATTAAGTGCTTAGTCATTATACGATAAGATGAAAAGAAATAATATTGCTCATGTCAGTAAAATCTTATAAATATATTGAGAGACTATATTATATTCACAGTATTCTTTATACAAATTTAGTAATGTTAATTGTAACGTTAGATATTGATAGTCTGCAAGATGAAAACCGTAAAATTAATCAGAATATTAAAGTAGATATACATCGATGAAGCGTTTGGATTGCTTTTAACTACAATGACAGCTTTCATGGGTGAATGATTCCCTTTTTGAACAAAGTAGTCTCAGTTTCATATAGTAATTTATTCCGGTGGAAGTATATCTCATACAGACGAACGCTTTTTCAAAAGTTTTGATGTTATTCATTTAAGAGTGGTTGTACTCCATATTGTTTCTCATCTTCAAGATGTATCATACAAGATAATCTTTCTTTTATTTAAGTGCATCTCGATTTTTTTGTCAAAGAATCATGAACAATGCAACGATATGAATGCACTGTTTTCTACGCAATTCTTTAATAATTAATTTGTCAAGTAAAGGATAAGGCAGAATAAATGACGATCACAATATTTTTCTGATGACTCAACATTTTAAAATGATTTTTTTTCTGTCAAAATATTCTATTTCGATTTCTCTGCAAAACTCTATGTTTCTCTTGATCAAACTATACTTCATAGTTTTTTTTACATGTAAATATAAGCAATTAGTGTAACAACCTATGCATCTGTCTCAATTAATCTTTTTGTGAAACTGTCCTATCAAACTTATTGGAAATGATATTAATTTCCATTTTTATTTGTTCTTATTTATTATCGGAAAATTTTCATTAACATGGAATGGTTTAATTAATATGTGAATTGATTATTTCATGCACAATGATTCTTACGGACATGAAACAGAAAAATATCATCATAACATCATTTAATTAACTGATCGCATGTGAGTTCATATTATCATGTTTAGATCTTTCTTCATTGTCAAACATCTTATTCTTATCGTTTGTGGCAATCTATATATGTCGTGTCAAAGTTATGCTATACTAACTAAAAAATTTAAAATAAATTCATTGACAATGATGTTATGAAAATGTATTATCTAAAATTAAAGTTACAGTCGAAAATTTTTTGTTTTTCTATTTCAAACTAATATGAAAATGAACAAATATAGAAAAATTAGAGATGCATTAGTGTAAACTAATTAATTTGTGACACTGATTTATCATATTAGAACACTAATTATTGACTGCTGTTTTTTTAAGTTCATGTCTCTTGCTGATGTTTGTTGATGTAAAATTTTACAATTAGAACATTTTTTTTTTATTATTGCCCTATGATATTCCGATACAAAGAGAAACTGATCTGATGAATTATTTTTTTTTAATTTAAATATTTTAGTGTTCAAGTAGTCTTTAACTCTTTTTGACAATACGACACATTATTGATGAAATTATGTATACCGATCTTCAAGCAATCTATTTGCAGATAAGTCAAAAATCATAATGTCAATAATTCGATGATAAAGTTTGAAGCTGATAGAGTTCATTTGCTATCGATTTAATCGTTTTTTTTTGAACGACTATTAAAAATAAGCCAATTAATTATTGTCTAATAATCTTCTTCTGTTAGACGGATAATTTTACTTCTTATTCTTCGGCTTATCTTTTTCATTTTGATATTATTTTCAAGAAAAGAAATTTTTTTTCTATTATAACTTTAATTTCGATAATACACTTTCATAATGTCATTCCTCATGGAATCAATTTTAGACTTTTAGTTCACGAAAGATTCTGTCTGAGGAGAGAACTCTTTCAACTGTTCAATCGTTTTTAAGTGAAGACTATGCGCTTCAGATCGATTCAAATGAATTACGAATGCCTTGAAAAAGAGGTTATGCTCTTGCTACAGAGATACTACATTTTCATTGTATTTTTTGAATATATCTGGCCGTCCCTCGGGAACATCAGAAAAACTGATTTTTTGATTCTGACTTGAAATTTTGCATAGAGAAAGAGGCATTCCAGAGAGTAATTCATTGTCGAAAGTTTCAGCTGTTTTGATTCGCTCCTTTTCTCAAATAAGAACGTCAAAATCTGCTTGTTTCTATAAATGATGTAAAAAAACATGCTATTACCACAATTATATCTTAAGATAGAAACAGTGACACGATCTGCTTTTTTTCAGATACTTTTTTCTACAATATTATAGAGCTTTGTTATGAATCATTTTTGTTTTGTAAAGAATAGAAGCTTGAATATTTTGATATTTGCACGAACAATAATGTCTTGCTTGTCTCTGAAATCAATCACAAGATAATGCCGAAATTGCTGTGTGTCAACGAAAAAGGACGTCCAAACACTTAGCAGGAACATTTTTCTTTTTTTTCACACAGCTTTCAACAAAATTTTGAAGCTTAATAGGGAATCTCTTTATGTGTTAAATCGTTTTTTGACCGAAACGATGCTTATTTTATGAATGATACAATAGTCTAGAACGTTTTAATTTTTCAGGTCTTCGTTGCCGAGATATCGAAGTTTCACTTGGTTTTCTGTAGTCTCTCTCAGCTTACATGAAAAATCGACGTTCAACTTCAAACTTTGCATGAAAAAAATTCGTAATGAGATGAGTTGATTGTGTATGTGTTAGCTTTGCCGGAGATGTAAATCTATTACTTTTACACATGAGCATATTTCGAATATTCAATATCATATGATAAGAAATACCAGACATATTACAACTTGCTCAATGGGCCAATATGCTTGAAAACTTTGTTTATATGAAGTTTGAAATCAAAACGAAAAATATCCATCGCAACTAAAAATCTACCGCTACTGCGATAGTTTTCGAAGAATTTCTCAAAAATCTCTTCCATCACGTTGCTAAATTTACATCATTACATTAAATTCATCAGATTCATCACGACTCTTCCTGTTAGACATGTAGACATTTAAAGTCAATGTGAATTCATTCAATTTTAGAATCTCCCTAAAAAAAGAAGCAGCTACTACGATCATGAGCATATCTGATTGAAACTCGATTTTTTCACGTCATCTGAAGTGGATCACAGGTTTTTGTTGAACAATTCAGTCCTTCTAAACATCAAAATAGAGAACGAACTAAATGAATCATTTATTGAAATAATTGACTATTATACTACATATATAGATATTTATTTTTCTCGAGCAGTAATATGAACGTTTTCAGATTTTCGAGCACTATTTGTATTGAACTTCATTCTTTGTTTTTACTATGTTCTGTTCATTGAAATACAGTATATTAAAAAAAAAAACTATTGAAGTAATTTCTATTTTTGATATGCTTTATAAATACAGTAAATTGAACAATAACTATAACAATATAATTTAATCAGATTGTACAAACAGTTTCGTCTACTCTAATAAAAATAATTACAATATTTCAATATTTTAATTCAAGAACTTTGTAAAACTCGTTCGTATCAACAGAATTTGTAGTGAATCACTAGAACATTTTTTCTACATTATTGAATAAGAAATCATCTAAAGCAATCATAACATTGTCGCTCAATCATCTCATTTGACCGTCTATCTCTTTCACATCGAATAAGAGAGGTGGACGGACATTGTTTTCGTTTTTTCGCATACACAGCGGTCAACTCTATTCTTGTGTATATATATATCTGCTTTATGAAATATTTTTTCATATGATAATCTACATTACGAGTAACAACATCGAAGGAAAATGAGTAGTGATGATGAAGCGCCTGAAGGAGAAAATTTTCAATGTGAACATATTATTACGGTAACATTTAAATGAGTAATCATGATCATTTTTTTTTTGAAAGATGTTCTTGTTTTTAAATAAAAGGAAAGTCATGAACAAACAATTTATGGTATTAGTATTTGTCAACAAGCTTTAGCAGGTGAAAGTGAAGACGCATTTTTATTTGCTACATGCGCTATAAATCAAGTATGTATAATATTTGATATGATTGATAATACTATTTTATAACGTTAGATTTGTGTTTATAAATATACGGTCATCGATGGTAAATCATCCGTTAAACTTATTCAAAGTTATTGTGATTCAGATGTAAGAAAAAATCTTTTGAAATTAAATAAATCCTATTCATTTTAATCTACGAAGGATAAAGAATATTTTTATGATTGTAAATGGACAACATTTGGAAATACAACAATATTAGCAGCTGGTGGATTACGTGGTGTTGTAAGAATTATTGATATTGCTCATCAATGTCATTTGAAACCGGTTTGTAAAATTGAAAAATAAATCTTCAAAACAAATTCTTTCTCTTAGCTTCGTCATTTAGGTAGTGTTAATCAAATTGCATTTGCTGGTGGGCACCCAACATTAATGGCTGCTGCATGTTCTAGTTAGTAATGATTGATTTTAGATTAACGAAAATCTATTTTTGTTTTTTTTCTTACGCTAGATTATGCAGTTCTTTTATGGGATGCTGAAGCAGCTCTTTGTTTAGCTAATTATGTTGGACCTGATCAGCATAAACAAGGAGTTCTTACTGTGGTTTGTATTATGTATTATATATACATGGTTTTTTCTAATTTAATTTTATATAGGATATCAATTACAATGGTACATTTATTGTATCCGGTGGTTTAGATAATATTGTGTGTGTATGGTCGACACAATATAAAGAGATAATGGAAAATATGGCTATCGCCAAAAAAGGACCTTTGTTTAAAGAATTTAGGTAAAAAAAAACGATTTCGGATTCGGATCATATCTAATGTTCGATCTCGACCTGCATTTTCGAAAAGATGGTTTTAAAACTTCAGGAGGGCTAATCTAATATTCGGAAGGATATTGGATGAAGCTCTCGTCATTTTCATATGACTCTCACTCTTTTGATAACAACATACCTAATAAATAATTTACCAACTTTTTAAGATACATGCAGATATCTTAATCGACACCACGAATATTAGCGAAATGTCCATAATTGGGCGAAATACTTGTCGTTTACTTTTCGCGAACGATATCCTAAGAGTCAGTTTACAAGAGAACCTCCCACAATATCCAATCACTTGTCTATCAAGCCAATGGTCACTTGATATGTAATAGAAAAGTCTATAATAGTTTGATTTTCAGAGCCTTGGTTTTCGAGAACTTAGAATTTCACTGGGTTTTATTATGACCCCTCCAGGTGACATGAAAATCGTCTTTCGACTTTAAATTTTTCATGAAATAAGTTATTAACAAGATTAATGGATTGGACAGGTTATGAGTTTTTCAGTATCTTCTACTACCATATTCAAAATTCTTTCATATGTAAAAGGCAATATATTTACATATCTACGAAAACCAAAACTAGGGCCATCAACTAATCTGATTGAAAAACTTGTTCGTGCAAAATTTGAAGTCGATTTTCCACGTGACCTGACAGTAGAGATCGTCTCGCAGGTTTGGTTCTGAAATCTTTCTGCTACCCGAGCCCAATAGGTTCTTCCTGAGAAGAATCATAGTTGTTTTGTTGAAAAAAAACAGTAAAGTTTTCATATCTCAAGGACGAAGGTTTGCAAAAGGTAACCATGTTCGAGTTTTCTATTATTATTCAAATAAAAATGATTTTGTTAATTATTAACAAGTTCTCATGATCCTTTATAGCTCTTCATTTGTATTATCATTTAGACTATCCGCACCACATCATGTCTATTTTCCAGTATTTCATTCAAATACTATTCATGAGCATTATGTAGATTCGATCAAATGGTTTAGTGACGATATTATTGTCAGTAAGGTTAGTCTGTTGTTTTGAATATTTGTAAGAAAAGTAAATAGCATTCTTTTTCAAGTCGGCTGACCATGTTTATTGCATTTGGAAATTTGATGTCGGACAAAAAGAACCACATATTTTATTTCGATGGCATCGAACACAAAAATCCGATATTGTATTCGATGTTCGACTTGGTTTATCAGTCACTCGAAAGGTATTTTTTGGCTAATTAAAATATAAAAAAAATAAAACAAAAGCTTCTTTTCTAGCTAATGGCAATCGGCCGTCTCGATGGTTCAATTTTTATTTGGAATATGACAAAACTTCCGGATCAGTAAGTTATTCGTTTGTTAGTTACATCATGAAATGAAAATGTTTTCCTACATAGACCGAATATATTAACACATCCTGAATCCAAATTGATGATACGACATCTCTCGTTTACACATAATGGTCATACATTAATTGGCTCTAATGAAAAGGGTCATATTTTTATATGGACTTCAGCATTATCTTAGTATATCATGTTTTTTTTGTCATTCTGTATTGAGATTGTTTTCACGTCTTTAATTTTTTTTTGTTTCGTTCTGTAATAAAAACTAAAGACGAGCTATATATAAAGGGAATGATATGATAGATAAAAGAGAAAAAAAAAGTGAAGCGTATTTTGTGTAGAGAATGGCACAAGGACAAGTATTCAAATGTTTCATCATATTTATGACAATCATCGAATGTACTCATGGATTTAAAATATTTGTTAACAAAAAACAGAATGGTGAAGATCAAAATACTAAATATATAACATCGTTTCATAATACATCATATGAAATACCTTTATTTCAAACTCGTTATGTCACATTCCAAACGGATTCAAATGATTTTCATCATAATAAACATACTATTAGTAATGTAATTGGATTTCTATTTCAAATAACATCTAGTCATCCTACAGCCATCAGTCTTCGAAAAGAAGTTATGAAGTCAATGGAAAATGCTAGAACTAACCAATCAAATACTTTCCTACTACAAGATTTATATATCTGTAAGTAATGATTGCAATAGGGCAAAAGTATCATTTTCCTATTAAAAGTTTTTAGGAGACTTAGTATTTGATTGTCTAACATATGAAATGATAAATAGTTTGCTTTATTAAGAGATACTCCATCAAAATATCGAGGATCACCTCTGTATCTAAAGCATTGGTTTAATTTTGAATTTTATGATATTTTATATGCATTTGAAAGGTGATTGTCTTAAATCACTGAATCCAAATGTTAAAGTCATGCTGATGATTTATAGTACAATAAACCTTGATCGAATTTTCACCACTAGCTGGCTGTAGAGCTCTGCACGGAGTCAACTAAACTTTTGCCGAAAGTTTATATGATAAAATTGAGCTTTCGACAAAAATTTAATTGACACTCTCCAGGGTTTCACCTATTTACTATCAAAAGACGAGTGATTAATTCTCCACTGAGATTATACTTCCACAAATGAAAGAATTTCTTCATGCAATATATTAAACGGTAGATCAAGAACAGTTGTATTTAGGTTATGTATTGAGTCAACATGAGTTTAAGAAGTGAAAATGTAGTGATCTTTAATATCTATCTGTTGAAAAGATACTTATTGCTATTTTTCTACATTTTGTGTAATTTTCGAGTCTTTAGAAAATAGTAATAATACATCGAAAAGTCCATTTTCTAGACTGCACGACGATTCCACTATCAATAACACGGTAAACAGCTCAGAGAAAATGATCGCGGACATTTTTGTCAGCATTCTTCATTACGGTTACAATAATATTGTCAGTTCTTTCAAAAAATGAAGAGAAAATTTGGATCGTCTATATTCCTGAAAGGACTACGGAAATTTCGAAAAGTAATTTCTTTTTGCGAAACCGGAAAGGAATCATTCGTGTTGATAAAGTATGCGATACAATCATCATGACCCTTCTAAATCTCCATAAGAAGAATTTTTCATGTACTACTGGACTACGATGAGCAATGAACTTCAATGATATGAGTGTGGGCAGCATTCCATGCTTTATCGATACGAATGATGATGATTATCCGATTTTTCAGAACAATATTTGATCTGAATTTTGATGGTGCACTTCAAGAGTGTACGGAGATCAAATTTTTTTTCTTTTTTCGAAAAGAATGGCAATATAATTTTAGTCAGACCGAAGGACACTGAAAAATGCTCGAGGCCGTTTTCCTTGAGACTATGTACGTGCCTCTTGACATTTCAAGTTCCGTATAGTCCCAAAGATAAGCTTTTGAATATATTTTCACTATTTTCAAGAAAATCTAAAATTACATAAAATGTCGAAAATTCAGTTTGGTTTCGTCCAATTTCGAAAAAATGGCAGTAGATACCTGGTCAACAAACGAATATTATAGACTACTAAATTGTTATCTTTGCCACTTATGTTGGCTCGCTGAATAAACCATATACAATATTTTAAATAGCTCATTTCTTTCGACCGCTGTTGATAAACGATCTCTATAAAAGCTCTTTGACTTGTGAAGGTATAATTAAAAACGTTGGAATAAACTATAAATTTGGATTTATTTGTTCCAGATAATGATCTTTCGAATCGAACGTGCAGAGAAAATACAACTGTGATCAGTGCTTTGATTCTGTAGTATTTTCATAGGTGCTCCATTGAGCTACTGCTCAATGGATATTAAAGCATCTTCTCAGATGCTTCTAATGACATCAGTATGTTCTCTAGTGTATCAATAAGTGATCAGAATACAATGAGTAAGACTCTTGCAAATTGAAATTTGAGGATATTATGACATTATTGATAATCAACGAAAGTTCTATAGAAAATTAGTCAACTTTCAACCAGAATGTTTTCTTGTTTTGAAAGATTCATATATACTTTCATTCGAATTTTAGTTGTGTTCGATTTTGAATAAAAAAACAACTTAATAATCAGAATGCATATTTACGTAGATCAAACGAAAATAACATACACTTGGATGATGATGACCTTTTATCTTATTCTTTTTAACAAAAAAAATGAGTAGATAATATTTTTTCATATTAATTTGAAAAGAATAAAGATTGTCACTAAAGAATAAAAGAACATAGAGACTTGGAAGTACATATTACACAAAAAAGTATGTTATCAAAAAAAAAAAAATAGTTGTTCTGTGTGAAAAGATTTCAATGATAAGAACAATGGTGAAGAGCTCTATCATAAACAAATAACTTTTCTATGCTTCATTATTGATCTTTACTATTCATAATCTAAAGAGAAATTCTATGGAAATGAAGAAGTTAACATAGGAACTGAGTTTTCGTGTTCAGAATTCAAGTTGCTTAAGAATCCAGAGAAATTTTTAGTAAAAATGACATATATGCTAACGAAACTATCTCTTAGAAGAATTAAGTAGTATTTTTGTTGTATATATCTATATGTTGGTGTGTCGATGAAGTTGTACAATTGATCATTATTCAATTTAGTTCCTCATAAAAAAAGTCTTGGGCATGTATTGAATGCGTATCCTTCACCGACATTAATTCGCGTTAATCAAAGTTCAAAAGATGATCCGAATATTCAATTTACGTGTTTAATGAAAGTTAAAACAATGGGTTTAGCAAATTTAACACTTCATTTGGATATATTTTATGATGATGATACATCATTGTCCCGCAGCTGGTCATTAAATGTTCTTGTAATGCAACCAAAACGTCTTATTGATAGATCGTTTTTTTTTATTGTCCCATTTGTAGTCATTTGTACTTCAATATTAATGGGTACGTTACTTGATACAACATTAATAGCAGGTATTTTGAAAAAACCAAAATCAGTTATTGTTGGTTTTGTGGCTCAATACGGCTTAATGCCATTTTTGGCAATAGCTATTACGAAAATTTTTCATTATACACCATTAAATAGTCTCTCTCTATTTGTTATTGGTTGTTGTCCAGGTAAATATATACACTATTTAACATAGAATTTCTTTATTATTAGAGAAATAAAACTAATTTTAGGTAGCGGTGCTTCCAATCAATGGACAGTTTTATTTGATGGTGATGTTAATTTATCTGCCATAATGTCATTTGTTTCAACTACAGCATCTTTTGTTATGATGCCCCTCTATTTTTATACAATAGGTAGACTTTTTACGGACGAACTTTCAATAAAAGTTCCTTTTTTGGGTCTGGCACGTTCATTAGCACTTGTTATTATACCATATAGTATTGGCATTGCTATAAGTCATTTTTATCCTAAATCACGTCTAGTTGTTAAAAAAATTATGAAACCAATGATGATTTTTTTGTTATTATTTTTTCTTACATTTAGTTTAGTTGTTAATTGGTATTTGTTTAAAATGCTTGATTTATCTACAGCATTATCTGCGCCATTATTGCCATTTTCAGGTTTTATACTTGGTGCTACGTTAGCTTGGATATGTCGTGTAGAATGGGCACATGTAAAAACAGTTGGTATTGAAGCTGGAATACAAAATGTTAGCATTGCATTTATGATTATAATGCATTCATTTCCACAACCATATGCAACAGAAGGAATTGTTGTACCGATGGTTGTTGCTCTTCTAACAACGCCACCATTTTGGATTATTTTAATAGTACGAAAACAAATAAAAAAATATAGACAACTCCAACAACGTGGAAAAAAATCAAATATACATGGAGATGTAATTGTTATCGATGATAAGTCATCATTAAATAATGAAAAAAATCATAAAAAAGAAGATGACGTTGAAACCATGCAGCAGTTATAAAAAAACTGAAAAACATAAACTACAAACGATTTCTTTACACTCTTTTTTCTTAGATGTCGGTTTTTTTTATGTGATTACTTAATAAAAATAGCCTAGTTAACATTAGACCTAGGACAGTTCCACATCAGGTCCGATCTTGAGAACTATTTCAACTGGTCGTCTGATAGGAACTAATCTATATAGCAGTTATTTTAGAATAAGTTGGTGCCACCAGACATTTCGTTTTAACCTTTCCATTTGCTATGATCTGTGTTTACACAAAAAAAAATAATCATTAGACCTAGTTCTAAAGATTGAAGCGCTTCAAGATACAAGTCTCGAATAAGAACTGCCCCTTTGAGAGAGTTGTCGAAAAGAATCTGTTCATGGAACTGATATCAGTCATATATTTTCCTTTGTATTGATTTGCCGAAATGCTTGCTTGAGAATATGGCCGTGTTCTCTTCTTTTTCAACATGACAGCGAGTGACCTCATCATTGATTAATTGAGAAACAACATATATGCATAATAAACATTATTAAAATGAGTAATAATATTTTTATCCATAATGGATGTGCTTTTAGATGCATTAGAACAATAATAAAGCCGAAGAGAAAAAACTTTTCACATCATTTTTTTTTGTGGCATCATCAAAAAGAACAATGTTCATAATGGTGCACAATCACTGTGTTCTATACCTTTTTCTACGTTTTTATTTTGTTTTAAAACATATCTTTTTTTTGTACGTTTAAATTATTTCAGTCGATTTCTATTCTTTTCTGCTGTTTTTTCCTCATCTTGTCTGTGTTTATGTCGTAGATCAACCTTGTATTTCTAATCAACTTGAATCAGCCTAGCAGAATCTTAAAGTCGAAATTGAGCTGGTTCGATGATCCATTGAAAAAAATCTTACGATGAAGCTCCAACAAAATCTATGGATTCATTTCAGGTTTTGTTTGCTTTTGGTAAACCATTACAAGACACTGCTATTTCAACTATCATAACTCAATGATCATTTGAAAAACTAAGAGAAGTTCGAGAAGTAATGAACCGTTTCACATAGACGTCAACGTTTTTGTATAAAACGGCTTTTCGCCAATTATATCATGTCTGAACTCGTAAGCTGATGATTGTATCGGTTGCAACAGCTTGTCCTCCTTCTAGTTCATTAATAAAAATGCAAAATGAACATTCATCGTGAGACTGATTCTCATTTTGTGTTCAACTGTTTCTTCGTATTAATATGCAGCTATTCAATGTCTGATGCGAGTTTCGTTTAGACTAAACCGAGATCAGGCCATATCTTCAAATTGGCATAGAACATAGTTGTTGTAACATTCTCTCTTGTCAGAATGCAGATATATTTTCGTTTATTTACATATAAATTTTTTATTTTTTGTGATTGCATATGGTGATTTATGCCAAGTGGGTTACAAATGGTACTGAAATACGATCACATGTATCAAATAATTGGTAATTAACGGATCTTGTTGGTGAAAAGGCAACATTCGATGATGATGGAAATTCAACTGAACTTTAAACCACGATTTGTAATTAACATAGATTTGGCTGATCAAGGTGGTGGCCTTGATCAATTCTCTTTGAAACTAGTGTTCTCTTTCCTTTATGCTTGTTCCTTATGAAAAAGGAAATTTTTGTTCGAAGAAGTATACATTATTGTTTATCTTCTTCAGATGAAAGCAATCAAAACTGCGGAAGAGAAATCTTACGTTTGCGACACTATAGCACGATTTACAACGAAACGAAACGATCCAAACTATTAATATATCAAATGGAATGTTGAGTCGTACACGCTGTACTATTTCAAATATATCGCCATTCTATATAACATCTTACGCTATTTTTGTAGATATTTTAAAAATCAACTCGCTAGAAAAAAAAATATAATCGTTTTTTTTATTAATTTTTTTCGTTTTCATCTTTTCTTTCCTGACAAGAACGATCTTCAAGTAGTTACGTAACTGGAAACTTCATAAACACCTACAGTAATAATTGGCAATTTAAGTGAAAAAATATTCTTGTTTTGACTTCGTAATCATCCTATAGTTTCATAATGATGCTACGATGTCAGATTTTGTAAAAGTTTTACAATTCTTATTTGTTGTTTTTTTTACAGTAGCAGCCGATAAACTTTATTATTTGGCAGAAAACTTCGACGCGATAGTAAAGATCGAATTAATCCAGTCAGTCGCATATTAGAAATATATCAATTTCAAGATATTGTAGGCAATAGAATATTCAATTGTAATAAAGAATTTTGGTTTTCATGCAATTGGTTTAGCTCAAATCTTTTACAATCAACCTGAGACCAACAACAATTAATACCAAGCAAACATGTTTTTAGATATTCAATATGTCGAAACGTCTCATTAGTTAATTCATATACATTACTTCTTCATATTCATTATATTTGTTTCCATGTCACATTGTCTAAAACGTTACAATACATTTGTCTTCATTTACTCAACTCTGCATCTATAAAAGGCTTTTAAAAAAATTTTTAACTAATTGAAATAGTAGATTCAAATGAGGAATTTCTCGTATAAACGATAATATCTCTAAAAAAAAGTATTCGACAACCGTTCTGATTAGATGAATTATCTATGAGCTACCGCCATTTAAGCTTAAGTTGAGTTATGTTTAACAATTTCTGAAGAGCAAACCATGGACTTGATTTCATTATTTATTAAACAATGATTAAAATGCGAATCAATTTTCTGTGGACTGATAAAATAAGCATTAGAAGTTCAATTGGTAAATATTGCTGACATCGGAAGATTAATATTTTGAATAATTAAAATTAAAATTGAAAGAAGAACAGTTGAAACAGTTCTAATAGATCTAAAATATTGTTGATCAAATCGACTCGATGACTTTATTGACTTTCATATGTAATCAATCCATTAATAATAAATTATCAAACTATTTTTTGACTAATTGTTGCTAAAACATTATTCAATAAGATTTATTTTGATCATTTATAGAAATCGACGAAATAAATTACCAACGACAAATTAATTGAAAATCGTAGTTTTGATGTATGCTTCTATGGTTACTCAAATAAGAAAACTCTAAGATTCTCAGAACATTGTTTTGTCTGAAGAACTTTGTAGTGCCTGTTGCACTGAGCATTTTCATACAAGAATATTCAAATTGACTTAACAAATCATGATGTTAGGATCGCAATACTCAAAAATCTTCAACTACAGCTCAATAAGCAGTCGGTAATAGTTGAAGGTTTTTGAGTAGTTTGCCCCTAAACCATGATTTAATAAGCAAATTTGGATATTTTTGTTCCAAAATGATCAGCATCACGGGCACTACAAAGTATTACAAACGGAAAGAAATCTTTTGATAATCTTGTGTTTTTTTTTTGCGATTGTCTACCTATGAATGTATCAATGGGAAGTATGATTCACCAGCACTTTGTCTTTAGTGAACAGATTAGATTTTGCTGCTAGAATTATCACGGAAAAATTAATAATCACGAATGACAATTATATATTAGCGAAAACAACTTTTAGAAGTCAACAAACGAACGAAGAATCATGGCTCACTAATTAATAGCGAAGATAAGGTGAGTTTAGAATTTTGTGAGACAGGCTAATTTAATATGAAATTGAACTTTGTTGTTGATAGAAAAATTGTATTTACATAGGAAATTATAGTATGAAACTGTTTCGGTAAGAGTTTCAAGTCATATCCAAAATGATTGTATGACAAATGTGGGAAAAATGCAACGATGTATAACACATAAAAGATTGAAATTTTTTACATAATCCTAACTACGTCCAAGTATTATAAGAAAATACTTACACCCGAATTTAAGTTGTTGGAAGAGCTGAACAAAAGATTTTTTCTATTACTCCTCACTCGAGTTCGAATATAAATATAGTTCTGAGACCATAATGTTACTTGGAAGATAAATTTAAAAAATTCAAACCACCACTGAAGTCAAAAAAGTAGCCAAAAAAATCCAAGGTAAAATTTTGATTTAAATTATAATTATTTCCTCAACAACGGCTTTAATGTGATGCCAATTGTGCAAAAGTTGTTTCTGCCATGTAACCGGCCTTTTATATCGGCGTGGGAGCGCATAACGCTCTTCTAAGAGCAGCAGCCCATGTTCATCTCTGTTTAGAATAATACAAATGTATCTTATGTGATATAGACACTACAGTCTCGTCTCGACTTATAATTATAAGCGAGATAAAAATTATATGTTTAACTATGGCTACGGCGATGCCAATGAAGTTTGAAGAACTTGACTTATTTTTCAACTTGAATTAGACGTCTACTTATAATGATAGTGTAAAATCATCAAGAATTAATGGTTGTCGGGCTTGACATCACATCATCAAATAAAAAAATATTTTTTATATGCAGACCGAATATATTAACACATTCTGAGTCTAAATTGTTGGTACGACATCTCTCATTTACACATGACGGTCATACATTAATTGGCTATAATGAAAACAGTCAAAGTTGTGTTTGGACATCATCGTTATCTTAGTATATCATGTTTTTTTGTCATTCTGTACCGATACTGTTTTCACATCCATAATTTTCTGTTTCGTTCTTTAATAAAAACTAAAGACGAGCCAAATATCACGAGCATGATATGATAAATAACTAAGAAAAAAAAGTGAAGCACATTTCGTCAAGAGAATGATACAAGGACAAGTATTCAAATGTTTCATCATATTTATGACAATCATCAAATGTGCTCATAGTTTTAAACTATTTTTTAATAAAACACAGAAGGATACAGATCAAAATATTGAATATATAACATCGTTTCATAATACATCATATGAAATACCTTTATTTCAAACTCGTTATCTCACAATACAAGCAGATGCGAATGATTTTCAACACAAAAAAAATAAGATTAGTAATGCAATTGGATTTAAATTTCAAATAAGATCTACTGATCCTGAAATCGTCAATCTTCGAAAAGAAGTTACGAAGTCAATAAAAAATACTAATATTAACAATTCAGATACTGTTCTGGTAGAAGACTTATATATCTGTGAGTAATAATAACAATAAACCAATAGTATTATGTTCCTATTAAACAGTTTCTAAGAGATTTAGCATTTGATTATCTAAAATGTAAAATAATTAAGAGTTTTTCTGGTCAAGAAATGCTCCATGAGAATACCTAAAATTAGTTCAGTATATGAAGCACTAGTTAAAATTCAAGTTTTAGATTATTTTATAGGCATTTGGTAGTTTTATAGTAAATTTAACCTTAGCAGACTTTTCATCCCTCGCTACTTATAGAGCTCTGCATGGGACCAACTAAACTTTGTACTGAAAATTCAGTTTGAACATATGAACTTTTTTGAATATTAGATTTTGTTCTCTGATATTTGCTGTACAAATTGATACATTTCAGAGGTTTCGATAACATCTTTCAAAGGCATCGGAGCACGAAAGCATGTTCGAGTCATATTCAACTTCGACTCTCTTTTATGTTCATAGACTTTAATAAGACGTCATTGGAACTTTCAAAATACATCAGTTTATACAGTAAATATCAAAGAACAAAATCTAGTATTGAAAGATGTTCATATGTTATAAGTGAACTTTCGGTGAAAAAATTAGTTGACACTGTCCATGGTTTTACTTACTTACTATCAAGAAAATAATGACTAACTGTTCGCTAGGATTATACTTCCACAAGTCAAAGAATTTCTTCATGCACTATATTAAACGATAGATCAAGAAAAGTTGTATCTAGGTTATTTATTGAGTCAACATGAGTTTCAGAGGTCACAATTTAGTAGTCTGTAATAGACATTTGTTGACCACATATCTTGTGCTATTTTTCAACATTTTATATAATTTTCGGTTCTCGAGATGATAGTAATAATATATTGAAAAGTTCATTTTCGAAACTAAATGAGAATTGCACTGCCCATAGACAGCCGAACAGCTTCAAGGAAAACGATCTTGGGCACTTTTCGGCATCCTTCATTATGGCTAGAATTATATTGTCAGTTTTTCCATAGAACGAAAAAAATTTGGACCTCTACACATCTTCGATGTGAACTGTAGGATTATATGAGTGAAGTTCATTAATAATCGTAATTTAGTAATGTATGGAGAATTCTTTCGATAGAGAATTAGAGGATCCGTTGCGAGTGTATGACATTAAGAGGCTATCCTTGTAACACTAAATTACGATTAATAATGAACTTCAATCATATCACTGATGAACATCCTATGCTTTATCAATATGAATGATTATTATAGAATTGTGTAAACCAAATTTTTTTTTAATTCCCATGGTTTGCATCAAAAATGTACGGAGTCCAAAATTTTTTATTCATTTTTCGTAAGAATCAGTAATATAGTCCTAATCAAACTGAAGGATGCTGAAAAAATACCTGAGATCGTTTTCCTTGAAGCTGCTTACCTGTCTATTGGCAATACAAGCCTTATATAGTCTGGAAAATGAACTTTTCAATATGTTTTTACTATTAGTTTCTAGAGAGTCAAAAGTTACTTAGCATGTAAAAAAAACTCAGCTTGATTTCCTTTCATTTCGAAAAATAGCAGTAAATATCCGATCAACAAACGAATATTATACACTATCAAATTTTCATCGTTTCCACTCGTGTTGGCTCAATAAATAAATGGCATACAAATATTTTGAAGCGTTTATTTTTTTCAGCTGTTGATGATCCATCTTGTAACTAATTCTATGATTTGTAGAAGTATAATGAAAAAAATCAGAATGAACTAAAAGTTTGGGCTTAGTCGTTTTAGATGATGGCCTTTCGAATGCACACGAAAGATCAAGCATTAATAGTTTGATCAGTGCTTCAATTCTGTGGTTCCTTCATGGGTGCTTCTTTAAGCAGTATTTCAATTAATATTGACGCATCTTCTCAGATGTTTCTAATGACATCAGTATACTCTCTAGTGAATCAACAAGTGATCAGAATACAATGAGTAAGACTCTTGCAAATTGAAATTTGAGGATATTATGACATTATTGATAATCAACAAAAGTGCTATAGAAAATTAGTCAACTTTCAACTAGAATGTTTTCTTGTTTTGAAAGATTCATGTATATTTTCATTCGAATTCTAGTTGTATTCGATTTTGAATAAAAAACAACTTAATAATCAGAATGCATATTTACGTAGATCAAACGAAAATAGCATACTCTTGGATGATGATGACCTTTTATCTTATTCTTTTTAACAAAAAAATGAGTAAATAATATTTTTTCATATTAATTTGAAAAGAATAAAGATTGTCACTAAAGAATAAAACAATCTAGAGACTTGGAAGTACACATTGCACAAAAAAAATACGTTATCAAAAAAAAATACTTGTTGTGTGTGAAAAGATATCAATGATAAGAACAATGGTGAAGAGCTCTATCATAAACAAATAACTTTTCTATACTTCATTATTGATCTTTACTATTCATAATCTAAAGAGAAATTCTATGGAAATGAAGAAGTTAACATAGGAACTGAGTTTTCGTGTTCAGATTTCAGGCTACTAAAGAATATAGAGAAATTTTTAGTAAAAATGACGTATATGCTAACGAAACTATCTCTTAGAAGAATTAAGTAGTATTTTTGTTGTATACATCTATATGTTGGTATGTCGATGAAGTTGTACAATTGATCATTATTCAATTTAGTATCTCATAAAAAAAGTCTTGGTCATATTTTCAATGCTTATCCTTCACCAACATTAATACGTCTTAATCAAAGTTCAAATAATGATCCGAATATTCATATGATATGGTCAATAAAAGGTAATACAATGGGTGTAACAAAATTAATATTTCATTTGGATATATTTTATGATGATGATACATCATTATCACGTATCTGGTCATTAAATGTTCTTGTAATACAACCAAAACGTGTTATTGATACATTATTTTATATTATTATTCCATTCATAGTGGTTATTATTTCAATATTAATGGGTATTTTACTTGATCCAAAAATAATAGGTGATATTTTAAAAAATCCCAAACCAGTTATTGTTGGTTTTGTTGCTCAATACGGTTTAATGCCTTTTTTGGCAATGGCAATTGCAAAAATTTTTCGCTATTCACCATTAAATAGTCTCGCTCTGTTTGTTATTGGTTGTTGTCCAGGTAAATATATACTATTTAATGTAGGATTCACTTATTATTAGAGAAATAAAATAATTTTAGGCAGTGGTGCTTCCAATCAATGGACAGTTCTATTTGATGGTGATGTTAATTTATCTGCCATAATGTCATTTGTTTCAACTACGGCATCATTTTTTATGATGCCTCTCTATTTGTATACAATAGGGAAACTTTATATGGATGAACTTTCAATAAATGTTCCATTTTGGGGTCTTGCACGTTCATTAGCACTTGTTGTTATACCATATAGTATTGGCATTGCTATAAGTCATTTTTATCCTAAATCACGTCCATTTATAACACGACTTATTAAACCGATGATGGTGTTTGTGTTATTATTTTTTCTTACATTTGGTTTAGTTGTTAATTGGTATTTGTTTATAATGATAGATTTATATACAGTATTAACAGCACCACTACTACCATTTATAGGTTTTTTTCTTGGTGGTATCTTAGCTTGGATATGTGGTATGAGTTGGACTCATATAAAAACAATTGGTATTGAAGCTGGAATACAGAATGTTGGTATTGCATTTATGATTATAATGTATTCATTTCCACAACCATATTCAACACAAGGAATTATTGTACCATTGATTGTTTCTTTATTAACAACAAAACCATTTTGGATTATTTTAATAGTACGAAATAAAACAAGACAATATAAACGCCGCAAAGAACAAGCAAAAAAATCCAATATTGATGGAGATATTATTCTTAATAATGATAAATCATCATTGAATAATGAAGAAAATCGTCAGAACGGAGATATCTGGGAAACCATGGTATAGTCATTAAAATAATAAAACAAGAAAAACATAAATCATGAACGATTGCTGTAGACTTTCTTGCTTTTTTTTTGATACTTTTTGAGATTTTTATACGACTAATTAATAAAAATAGTCCAGTTAACATAAATCTATATCATTTCAATCATTAAGTGCCGTAGAAGGTCATTTAGACATGTGTAGAAACCATTGAAATGCACCTTGCAATACTTATAAGGTATTCGTTCTTCTTATGCATGATCTAGGGTGTTAATAACCATAGAAAGCTTTTTTTTGTTGACTTAGACATCTTTCATCATATGAGTCACTTGATAATTTCCAAATGAGAAGTATTCTGTCTTAAAAATTCGCTTCCGAGAATCATAGAGATTTTTCTATAAACCTCATTATCATCAAACGAAAGGAGTTAGACTGATGGCAGATACCTATTTGAAGATAAAAGCAAAATTGATATGTGAGGTTGGTGATCTACCGAAAGTGAAGGCTAACTCTTCAGAACTTTGGTTCTCTTTTCATATAGTTAAAATGTATCAGTAGATAAGTCTAGGCAAATCCGGTAGTTGAAATATATTCAATAAATCCCAGTAGCCCTTCGGCCATTAAAAGCTTTCTCCAAACACATACTCATTTCATTTAGTTTACTTTGTTCGATTGCTTCTTCAAATCATCAACATTGAATTCAGTTGATGAAAGTGATTTTTTTGTACTGTTTTTCTTTCATAAAAAATGAAAAAATCTGTACACCTTCGTTTTCTCTTTCTCTCTTTTTCATTCATAACGTTAAGTCCATTAAATTAAAAACAGATGGCATAGCAAGGATGTTGAAGAATGTCTTCCAAGCAAAAAAAAACATGTTTAAATACTGCTACTGTTGTTAAGAAAAGGATCATGATACAACAAACACAAAGAAATCCAATATTTAATCCATCAATGACAGTAATAAGAAAATCAAAATCACGACAGAAACAATTGATTGTTACTAATAAACGATATATAACACCAATAGTTAAATTACCAACAATTGTAAACAAAATGTCAGCAAGAGGTATAATTATTTTTTTTTATTATGAAATATCAAAAGACATGACTTTCTTTTGTACAGTTCTTAATTCAAGTCAATCAGCTAATATTCAAGACTCATTGTAAGATAAATTTTTATAATTATATTTTCTTTGTTCTTAACTCTTGTTTTTTTTTTCTTCAAATAAGACCATCTCAAAAACCATCTTCAACAGATACAAATCAATCATCGTTTCCTAAATTATTTAAGCCAATCAATGCAAAAATACATTTGCCAGCCATGAGTGATCATGTTGTTAAAGAAAATCTCACGCAAAAAGCAATATTAAGATGCAAATCACCACAAGCTTCAAGTATATTCAGTCGATCAAATACTTTTATAAATGTTGAGCCTGAAGAAGAAACGAAAAGTTATCATCCACTTCAGGTTTTCATTTTGTTTTATCGAATGAATAATCAATCTTATTTTGTTTAGCATATGGATGTAGGTTCATTGCTCAGTGAATCAGCACGTAATCGATTGAAACGTTTATTTAACAAACTTGATACAGATAAAGATGGGTAAATTTGTAAACAAAAAAAAAAATTTTCCAATCAACATCAATTAATCTTTTAGACATATATCATATCCACAAGTACAAAGATGTTTACCATCTAATTTTCCTCGTGCTCAACTAACATTTTTTCGTGTGGTTAGTTAATCTCTATATGTTGAGTTAAATGCTTCATATTTAATTTCTAGTTATATGATATAATAAGTGGTACAACTTATTTTGGTTTACAAGAATTTTATGCAACAGCTATCATTGTTGAAATGGTAGCTAAACAAGAGTAAATAAAATAAAAATTTCTATTTCGAATAAATAATTTCCTGATATATTATAGTTCAAGATTATGGAATATATTATTAGATGATGTTGATTTTAATTATTATCATAATAATATTCTTGAATTACTAGAAGATTTTAATAATCAATGTTTATCGGATAGAATTACAATAAGTTATGAACAACTTCTTGAATTTATTAGAAAACGATTAGGAAATAATAAAATTGAACGTATATCCAATGAATTAGAATTTGTTATGCCAAAGATTAAAACAATGAAAATCAGTCGTCTAGATTTTATTGCTCTTATACCAGTTATTATTTATGTGGAATCATGTTTTGCTCATGGACGAACATTATTTCGTTTTCAAGAAAATTCTTTACTTGATTTACATATACGACAAGCTTTATTAACTTAATATAAAACTTAATATTGAAATAAGACATTGTTGCTTCTACATTTTTCGTAGTATAAAACATATTGGATGGAACAAAAGAAAAATGGAATTGAAATGGGTACACCTAACGTTTTCTTTAAACAATAAGAAAAAGAAAATCAATAAAAACTTTCCTTTACTTTTTCGAAAGGAAAAAGAACGATTTTAAGTTTTCCTTTTTCTAATTAATTGTTATATATCGAAGAAACACATTTTTGTTTCTCCGAAATTTATTTTTATTTGATCTTCTTCTTATCGAATATAAATTTGAGAAATCATTCAAAGGAACAAATAGATCATGTAGAAATCTATAATTAAAATCATTGAGTTATGTAGATCATGAATGGTACTAAAAATTTTACCGCTTTTACGTCTATCATTCTGAATATTCGAAATATAATATATACAGTTTGATTATTTTGCCTTTGAATCCTATGATCTATGACAATCTAATCGGCTAGTTTGGTCTGTAAAAGGTTTCGTAGCCGAAAAGGAAACATACTGGACTGCTGAACTGCGTTCGGGCTCTGATTTTGACTATGAATAGAATTCAGTAAGATTTAAGACATTCTTAAAGAGTTCAGACCTACGATGGTTCTACACGGAAATTCAATTACTACATAGATGTAAGGAAATAGAATTTTTTAGTTTGTCCTCAATTTCTTTTTCTTCATTTCACGAAGTTGAGATCTGTAATTATTAATACAAAGTTTTCATTTGATACACAAAGCAAAGTCATATTCAGTCAAGAAAGATCGATTGCTCTCGAGGTAACACTCATTTCGTTCTATCAAGTAATATAAAAGTAAATGTAAACTTTTTCTTTCTTGCTCCGATGCAAAGTGGCAGCAAGAAAAACATAAACTAATGCACTGACTTCTTCGTCTATGCCACTTTTCATCGATGCATCATCAAGTATGCTTCCATTATATTTGATGAGCATAATATAAGGTTTTGAATTGTTATGCAAAGATGCTCGATAAACTCTGTTGCTTGTTTCAGAATGTCGGGAACGAATCGAAAAACAATTTTCTTAGAACTTCGAATGTCCAGAAAAGATGCCACTAAGGTAGTCATGTTCATTTTTCAAATGGAACACTAAGAAAACAGCTAAGTCAACTTGTACGATATATATAACCGTTAGTGCTAGCTTGATTTTGAAGAAACCAGAAAAGTATATTCTTTACTTTTATTGTCTTTTAGTAAGGTATAGCATCAAGACTCATATGAACGTTATCTCAAAACTGATCGGACTTTTTTGAATGAATATGACTCTGCTTCGTATATCAAAAAACAATTCTATAGTAACAATTGCAGAATCTCAACTCTCTAAGATAAAGAAAAAGAAGAGAAGAGAAACTAAAAAATCCCATTTTCTTACACTTATGCAGAAAGTAAGTCTCCAATTAAGTATGTCATGGACTCGAACAAGGTTCGACAGTTGGATAGGCTCTCGCAAATATCGAAAGGAAAAAGGTTGAAAATACATTTTGAAATGAAAAAATATCGGAACGTGAAAACATTGAAAAGAGTGATGTCTCTAAGCACTCATAATACATTATTGTTTTTCATATAACTCTACTAGTCTAGATTTTTAACCGGTAGTAATGGTGATGAATAATACCTGATATAGATTAATCAAAAGAATTGGATGAAAAACTATTATATACCTGAAATTCTATGGCCATGACTGCAACTGCTCTATCTTCACTAGATTTAATTGAAACAGAGCTGCTATTTACTTCATATATACGTCCATAAAAAGCAAAAACTTTTGCTTATAACAGATAAATATGTTTTCAAATTAAATAAAACAACAACATAACCTATCAAGTAATGGAAATGTACACTTAATGGATATTCAGCAAGAACTCATACGAATTTAAATGATTAACATATGTGTATTTAATTTAAAATGTAGGTCTAACAGCAAATCCGAACCAAGCCGAAACACTTCTCATTAAACACCGTACTGATAATCTTGATGAACAATATTATGACAGTATTATAAATACTATAGAATACTTATGAGATAGTTTTCTATTTATAGTTGCTAAACGAGAAAATAATATAATAGAGAACGTGATGAGGATTTAAAATTTCGGCTTTCGGTGAGAGTCCAAAGGCTTATCGAAAATGATGATGTAACAAATGTGAAAAAAAATGCAACGATATATATAACATCTAAAAGGTTGAAATTTTGTACATAATCCTAACTATGCCCAAATATTATAAAAGAATGCATTCGTTCGAATTATAGTTTTTAAGAGAGTTACACAATAACATTTTCTAGGGCTATATGTCATAAGTTGCCTAATTCAAGCTCTAATATAAATAAAGTTCCAAGAACATAGTATCACTTCGAAATTGAATGAAAATAATTCCAATCATCAATGAACTTGAAAAATACTCAACAATCAAAGATAAAAGTTTTATCAGAATTATAATTATTTTAATGTGATGATTAATGGTGAAAAGCGTTCAATGAGATCCCTAATAAATCGGAGGTATGATACTAATGGTGCAGAAATTGTTTCGGTCACGTAAGCGACTTTTAATATCGATGTGGGAATGCAGAAAGTTCTTTTAAGAGCCACAACTCATGCCAGACAGAACATTTCCTTTTAGAATTTTAATTATAACTGATGTAAAAGATGTATCGTGATGTCGATGAAATTTAAAAATTTTGACTTATTTTCAAACTGAACATCTACTCATAATTGTCTTGTAAAATTGACAAACATCAACAGTCCTAATGAAGATATTTTCCTAAAAGAATGAACCATTTTCTTTAGAACAGTTCTTATAATTCTCAATCTGTCTACGATTGTAATTTTATTATTCATAGGCGACCTCTATCGAGAAACTTTTAATAATCGAAGTTTTTTCACTAATTCAAATCAAGTTTTTTGTCTTATAATGATAATTTGACTGTAAAAGTTTTTATTATTATTTTTCATATTTTACATTATTAAGCATTCTTGGCAGTCTCTCTGAAATGATCCATAACAATGGCTTGCTTGAATTGAGTAAACATTTGTCATCTATAATCTGGCAATAGAGACAAATATATTCACGCGAGAATCAGAAAAAAAAAATTTTTTTTATTTTTCTTTGCTTTCTTTCTCTCTCTCTCTGTCGCCTTCTCTCTTTCTATTAATGAATTTGAGTGTGTCCAATTTTAATAATAATAAAAAAACAAGGACGAAAGGCACAAACGATTTGTTATAAATGATTATCTCTACTACATTTATATCATTGATTTTTTTTTATTCATTAATAATATAGAATACAATAAGTTGCTTGTTGTGAAGTAGCTATTTGTTGTTGTTATTTTGAAAACTTTTATTCACTTCATTATGTATTTCTTACTTTAGACAGACAAGAAAAAAAAAGAAAAAACAAACAATATCAGAAGAAAAAAAAAATTATTCGTCTTTTCGTTCATATTACCATGTGATCTGGTCTTCCTGGTTTTGCGTATGAACTTTTTTGTCTTCTTTTTTTTTTTTTTATTTTGTCTTTTTTTTCTTTTTTTTTTTTTTTCTTTTTTTTTGTGTGTGTTTTTTTTTTTTTTTTAAAAAAAAAAAAAAAAGAAAAATTATAGCAACCATACATTATTATGTGTTCGCAATCAGTGAGTGGCTCAAGTCTTTTGTCAGGTTATAATGAAGATGATGCTCGTGAAACAAGTGGACGTTCAAGACGAGAATTTGAAGAAATAGATGCTGTTTTATATGATGAAGAAAAAGCAAAACGTTCTTCTATTAAAAAAATTTGTGAAGAATGGTCAAGTAAACCACATTTTCGAATACGTGGCCGTTTAAATCATATTGAAAAACAATCAACAATAAATTTAGCTCAACCATATAAACAACAAGATCTCACTAATATTGAAACAACAACAACAACAACAACATCATCAACACTTGATCTATTAATTACAAATCCAAAATTTTCTAGTTTAAATTCAACTGAATTGAAAGTAAGTAATTGCTTGGAAGAAAATTTTATATTCATAAACTTTGCTTTTCTAATAATTACTAACAAAATTCTAAGTTAATCAATATAGACAATCTTAATTCGTTGATTAATGAAAATACGGGGCTTTTTTTCTCGTGCATAGGAAATAAGTTTTGTTTAAAAAAAAAGAGACTATGAATATAAACATAATGCACTCACAACATTCTTAGAATATATTTATTTAAAAAACAATACGAAAAATAAAATCTATTACTTTATGAATATAATTGTCAGTTTACATGTCATTCGATAAACTTAAAATATTTATATATTAACATAAAAGTTTATTTTTAGATCATTTTCTTTGTTTTGATGAAAAATCAAATCTTTAAAATCTTCTTCAATAAATTCAAAATTTATTTGTTTGAGACCTGATTAATGTCTACAGGCTGAATATAAGTCGAACTATAAATAGATGATAATGTCCTATAGTAGTAGTTTTTTGAATTTGAAAAATGTTTAATTTTTATTTTAAATACATCAGTATCCATGACCAGACAAAGTTCATCAGATGCAGAACCTTCGCTCGCAATTCAATTTTTTTTTTTTTTGTAAAAGAAAAAGTCAAGATTGATTTCGAGATGTTTGCTTTTGACGAATTTTTTCTAAATATATAATTGTTTGAATATTGAATAAAAATGTATGAATATGTCTGTAACGAGATTGATATTGATCATTATAAGAATTTGAATCAAATTCTTAATATATCAATAGAATACGATCGTTTTTTGTATTCGTATTCGTTAATCAGAAATGAAATTTTTTCGTTTTAAACGTTTTCATTCTATTTAAATTTTGACTGAAAGCGAATAAATAATAACATTAAAAATACAGAACAAAACCTGTCAAATTTTTTTTTTTTCATTAAGAATAAAATTTATCAAATATAGTTGAACTATTCTAAAGAAAGAATTTTTTTGCTTTATACTAAAAACAAAAAAAAAAAGAAATTAATCATATATAACAAATATAATTATTTCCAGGCTCTTCTTGATGATACTGCTTCTGGTCGTTCATCGATTGATTCAATTGAAGGCTCTGAATTAACAAATAATTCTGATTTAGATGATGATGATGATGCTACAAATACCATACTAGATGGTCATTTCAGTGGTACAGCTGCTGATTCATTTGATACAGATGAAGATGATGATGAAAATAATGATTTTTCACTTGGTATATCAACTAAACATCATCGTCATCATCATTTACATTCTAAACATCCACAATTATTAATTAAATGTATGAAAGATAGTATTGTAAATTCTTTAGCATCAGAATTACTTAAACAATTTCTTTTCGATCAACAATTACTTTTACAACAATATGCTAAACTTATTTGTTCAAGAAATGCTATTAAACTTCGTCCAAAATTCAGACCATATTCATTACCACCACGTTCACTATCACAAAATCGTTTTTCATTACCAACAGCATCATCAATAGCAGCAACAAGTGCTTTATTACAAATTACACCATTTCCAATACGTTCAACACCTGAACCAGGTATGAAATTAACTGGTCTATTACGTGTTACACCATTACGTATAACAAATTCTGGACCAAATACAAATGCTCCAACATCACCAAGAAAATCTCAAATACCTCCATCATTACCTCCACCTCTTCCACCACCACCTTCAACTGAACGAACTCCAACATCTTTAATACTTGATAAACGAAATCAACAACAAATATCTTTAATTGGTATATCTGTTGCTAATCCTCCTTCACATCAATTAGCTATTGCTACAACACCACAATCATCACAAAGTCAAATTCGACAAACACCATCAACATATCGTTATCGTTCAGCTACAACAATTAATACAAATATACAAAATACAGAATCGAATACACGTTTACCACCAATTAATATTGAACGTTTAACAAGTAATGATCAATTAACACTTAATCGTTCAAATACAACAACGTCTATTATTGTTGAATCAATACCACCAGCAACACGTGCTGTTAGTGGTACAAGTACAGGTTCAAATCTTTCTTCAACAATTAAAATACGAACATCAGCTAATCTTGGAAAACTTCAACGAGCATCTCGACCAATATCAATGTCATCAATTACTACTACTAGTAATAATAATAATAATAAAGATTTAAATAATTCATCATCAACAAGTCCAGCTCGTTCAATAACAACAGCAAATCCATCATCTTCATCACTAAAAACAACTGCTGCTACTCGAACACAACAACAGCAACAACAACAAAAAAGACCTTTAGTAACAACGAAAGCTCCACCACCACCTTCACCAGGTGTTATTAAAGTATCTGCACCACATATTTGCTAAATTAAAAGACAAAATAAAATCTCACCATATGCACAATAGTATCATCTTGTTATTATTTACTTTTTTTTTTGTCTCTTGCATTTTCTCAGTGATTATATAAACTTTTTTTTTTTTCTTTTCTCATCTTCCTTTTTTTTTTTTGAAACTAAAGAACAATGATGACGTAAAAAAATGAACGAAAATTTTGTGCATTTCTCTTTATCGTTTTTTTTTTCTGTGTAAATATGCAAAAGTTTTCTTTTTCTTTTTTTCTTTAGTTTATAGTAGTTTGTGTACATAATTCTTCGTTCGCTTTTTTCTTTTGGATAAATGTGCAGATTTCATCAGTGCTATCCAATATTAATTTCATTGTTATTCATCAGATTGGAAAAACAAGTATAATAATTATTGTGTGGACAATTAATTACGCCTTAAAATATTCATCCTGTTGAATAGTTTTAAACTTTTTTTTTTAGACATATATGTTCGATTGTCTAATAATACCAATCTTCATAGTTCTAATTTATTGAATTATGCTTAGCAGGTTTTTATTGTTTAAAGAACGATAAGTTTTATCCTCTATTATTTAATTTTGAAATATTTAGTAGATATCATAGAGCCCATCCCTTGTTAATTTACAATTTTGCATGTAGAGAAATGTACTTCGTAAGATTTTTATTTATTGTTAGTTTGTAACATTGACATTTGATTTTTTAGTTTTGCTCTTGTAATTGATACTTCGATTAAATCAAATCCCGTGAAAGAAGAAACGCAATAAGATAAATAATATTGATTAGATATAGATTACACTTTAAGTATAAGACATTGCCTCCGAGTAAATAAACTAATATTATTAATCAATCATGTCAAACTTTATATAATACTTTCGAATGTAATATTGTCGATTCAAGGTAAATATGAAGAGATAAAAAACATTCGATAGTAAATCGATAAAGAAATCATCCCATTAGTCAATTCATCTCTTGGAGTATTTTATTCAAAATTTTCAAAACCTGTAAATATTAATACTCGGATGCTAACATCGCATAAAATGTGACATTCTGACTTACTTCGAGTTTTCTGGAAAGATTTTATAAACTATCAAAAACAAAAAAATCAATGGTTTATTATTATATATTTGCTACTTGCTTCATGCATGACTGAATCAATGCATAAGTTCAATAGCTGTGGGTTTAACTTTTTATGAACTCAGATTCAAGGCTAGTTCACCTATGTGTACATTAATAAATAAAAGATCAATGTTATAGCTATTTATTAACTACTATCAGAAAAAAAAAGTCAATGTACGCTTATTCCTTGTTGCTCACTTTCTTAGCGCTCGATACTGAATCAATTTAAAGTTTTCATTTAGTTGAACAGAGCATTATGTTAACCACTAATGAAATTTAACATTTAATTCATAAACAAAAATTCGCTATTGAACATTGCTAAGACATGGATAACTTATTTAATTTTGCATTGAGCAATTTAAACTTAAATTTTCAGTTCTTCAATCAAAAGATAAGTTCATCATTTAGAATAGATCAGATAAATCAAAAACAGCTCCTCCTTTTCATCTGCTCATCTTTTTTTTTCTTCGTCTTTGTACCAGCAAAGAAAAACGTCAATGAAGAGAAACTCCTTGAAAGAGAGCGAGAGAGAGAGAAAAAAATGAATGTTTATGTTCGTGCAATGATTAACTATAACTGCTCATGATCATTAAACTTTCATATGCTAAGTCATTCAATGCCGCCATTGCTCGATTAGAAGTAGCGAAAAAAAAAAAAAAAAAAGAAAAAGAAAACTACAATTTAAAATTTCCCTTGAGTATATGTGCAATCAACATTCTACTCTATATTTATCGAATTAACAAGAGTAAAAGATCTGTTCAAATCATATATTAGTGAATATAGAAATATAAAACAATCTCACTTCAATCAATTGTACCGACTGACAATGATGATACCTGTTACATCGACAATAATGATCGATTATAACAAACAGTTGCTACAAATAAAATCACTTTTGCTATATTTTGCTCGCTGTACAACAAATAATAATCAAGAAAAAAGAGAGAGAGAGAAAGAGAGACAGAAGAATTTGACTAGAAGTTTACATAAAAAAAAGATTAGCTTGCCTCTAGTCATTTGTTTTTTTAACTGTTTTTATTATTCGATGGTGTATGATTATATAAACCTTGTGCCATTAATTGTAATGCTAATGTATTTCTTACACCAGATGTTTTCTTTATTTTTGCTCGTTTATTTTGATACCAAATTTTTATTTGTGATTCATTTAAACCTAATTCATTAGCTAAAATTTGTCGACGTTCACCAGTTAAATATTTACTACGTTCAAATTCATTTTTTAAACGTGTTAATTGATTATTAGTAAAAGCAGTTCGTGGACGTTTGGAATCGATTGTATCGCATGATTTAGGTTTTCTTGCACGCGGACCTAAAATGTGTTTGTGTGTATGTGTGTTTGATTTTGATAAAAAACTATTTGCTTGTTGTCTACCTGCAGATGGTCGATCAGAATATCGAGTACAAAAAATCCATGCTGGTAATGTTCCCGGTTTAAAATTAGTATTTGATGATGATATTGAATCATTTGTTGTTGGTGGTGATAATGGAATGTTACATTTTTCATTTTGATGACCAAAATTTGGTTTTAATATATCCGATATAAGAAAAGATTTAATTGTTGTTGATTGTTTTTTATTTAATAATAATGACGATGATGATGATGATGATGATGATCTTGAACATGTTGAATCAGGCGATGAAAGATATAATTGATGATCATTAGTATTCATGATCAAGACTATTGCGTATATATTTTTGTTTTGATGACAAGTATCAAGTTATAGTAGTTAGAATCAAATAACTAAGTGAATGTAAAAATTATTTTCCTGTTCTATTTTTCTTTTTGTCTTGACTTTCTCTTTGCTTTCTTTTTCTTTTTAATATGATTGGTCAATTACAATAACATTTTTTTTTCTCTCTCCGTATTTTTCTTCATGTAATGAGAGACGCATATCTCGTTTTGTCGAACCAATCATGTAAAAAGATACTTGTGATAGCAAATATAAATGATGATGATGATGATGATGATGATGATGAAGATGATGACGAGTAAGAGTTCTTTATATATGTATGCATGATATACTAGTACATCAAAGAAATAAGAAAGTTCTTTTTCTGGAAAACCGATTATGAAAATAAATGAGGCAAAATAATCATTTAGATATTAAGCAAGTCAAAGAGAAAAGGTTAACAATTGATTATCACATATGTTAAAACAAGAAAGAATAGATCATAAAAAGATGTTATTATTGACAGAATAATCGAAACTAATTTGATATTTCCTATTCATCTATTTTATTACTTATCATGAAGTATCATTTTGAGATCCTCTCTTTTCTTTTGCCTTGTCGTGCCGACTAAAATGACAGGGCGCGCAACTTTTATTTGTGTTCATGCAAATGCATAGTATTGATGACAAGTAAAACCACGCCTTTATGAACACGCACATCCAAAGAGAATATGATAAGCGACTAACTCGATTAAAATAATATCTATACGTCGTGTAAACACGATGACGATAGCTAGATCATCAATCAATACGAAAAAAAAAGAACGACAGAATCAAGCGTATGAGATTGTTATCATGACTAACATCAATGCTCATAGAAAAATGAAACGAAAGATTCTTCAATGGTTCATTGAGTGGTATCATTAAAACTGAACCTATCCACTTTTTGTAAGTATGATGATTCTCTAAGTACCTTATGTTATGAATGTTTGCAATGATTAACCATTGATAAAAATAGTCGACCCTTGTACAAACAAAAATAATGAAGAAACAAACGCTTTCCATTGGTTTGTATTTCAATGAAATTTCATCTAGATAGTTTAACTAAATTTTGATTCTAATATTTATGTCATACGAGAAAATCTTATGATGAAAATAAAATTAGCTTTGTTTCATTTTAATTTTTTGACATTGATCATTTTTCTTATTGAAATCCTTTGCAGCTGATCAACTAACAAAAAACGATCGATCATCAACATAGATTGAAATCTGCATATGTGTATTTATTTCAATCACTCATCATAGTTTGTACGTGACTTCTTCGTTTTTTCTTTGCTTTTTCTCTCTCAATCATTATATATATATATATGAGTATTGGAATGTTTTGAGCAATTAGCGATCGTGAAGCGTGATCGATTCATATATGCAACGGTAGAAAAGTGAGAAACAAAAAGAATTGATTTACTTGCCACCAATACTATAATTTGTTTTTGATACACTTATAACACGCACAAACTTGCATGCACATCATATCAAATATAGAAATACATTCGGGATTTTAATCTCTATTGTCGATTGAGAAATACTTCAATATGGATATAGAAAAGAAAACAATTTTCTTATCGATCTTTAATATTAATAATAATCATATGATTTATTTTATAAATAGACAAAGATTAACACCAAGATTCACATAAGTCTAATGATATATTGTGTAATCATATATAATGATAGTTGAAAATAATATAGATATTCATGCAATCAATCAATACCACTTAAGTAACTCTAGAAGCGATTTAAATCAATTTATCCTATTCCAAAACTTGAAAAATATATAGCCCTTTGATAAACTGTCAATCCAATAGCCAAATGACATGAAATAGGACAAAAAAGATCAACATCATTCAAAATATTCACTTTCGTCATTTTTACATGACTTTAAATTGTATAATATTACTGAACATGTAAGCTGTTGTTAATTTACAGAAAAAGCATGCAGCTATAAGTAAAAAGTATCGGTTATTTATGATAGTCTTCAAGCCTAATATATTCTATACTACTGCTAAGTCTCAAATGAATTACTTGTTTTTTTTTTACAATTTTTTGAAAATGTATTATGAATTAGGAAGTCTATATGATGAAGAATTCTTATAATGGACTAAAAGGTATTTATCATTAATGCAGTGAACATCTATGTCGAATACTTTATTCTGAACACTAATCATAAATAAATTGCCTAAAACTAGTCTATCGTTAAGTAGCATCAAAGTTCGAATATTGTAACATTGAAAGATAAATAACAAGGTGGTATCATTTATAAAATCAGCATCAATATTACAAATATTTGGTTTCAAAAATGAAATGCATTTGAATCATTTTTAATAAATCGAAACACAAAAAGAAAGCTTTACATTTTAAAATGTTTATTCTATCAAGTTTTTAATAATATCTTTAACATGAAAGCAATTATCAAATTAGTATTATTGTTTTCCATTATTACAAATCCAAAAGTATAACTTCATAATATCTCGAAAATGTATCAATATTCACAATAATTGACATATGAGATATTTTCTTTCTCACACATTGAACACGACTCTATTAGTACATTCACTCGCGCATCAATGATGATATGTGCCCTTAAGACTAACTAAAATAATACTACGAGCATCTTCTTTGAACAGAAAGATAGAAAAAGAGAGACGACGTTTGACCTAATCTTTTGATGAACAATATATGATAACGATGATGAGAAACTAATAAGTGTGTCGAATGAATTTCGTTTATTTTAATAGGTATAGGTGTTGATGATGAGAAAATATGTGAAAAGTGATCAATAATAAAAATATTTTATCAAGACATAAGATCATTGTGTATAGATAAGTTTTAAACATTGACAGAAAACAAATAAGAATTAATCATATTCATATTAAAACAAGAGTGTTTCTTATCCTGCGATTCCTAAATAAGCAACAAAGTGCTGCAGATGAGTTAAAAATAGAAACATTTCAACCACGCTGCAAAAGCTTTTATAATAAAATAGTTGATCGACAAAAGTTATTCATTTCTTATATGACATTTTCGACAAAAACATCATTTCATAGATTGTGAGTGAACTTCAGAGCTCGTCGACTATAAAATTTTGAGACTCGAATCCTACGGACTATCCTGAATTTTCAAAATTTATTGTCTAATAATAAAATATGGTCAATCATGTTTTGTAAACTGAGTCTTCAACATTTGTATTCATAAAAAAGATAATGAGTTCTAGTATTGTGAATAAAATTACCTGACGATAAACAGATGGAAATCAGACAGTCAAACATAGAGAAGGTCATTACCAAGAACAGTCATACTCGGAAAAATTTTACTGCAAAACTTAAGGATTCTCCAGCAGATTTACGAAAGAACTCATCAGTTTGAAATCTTTCGAAGTTTTTTTGTATCTTCAAAGACGATCTTCAAAGCTTTCTCACAAAACCTCAAATTTTGAGAATTGCATGTGAATATTTGAAGGTTCGATCGACCTAGAAACAAGCTTCTTACATGAATTCGGAACTTTTAAGGTTCCGTATTAAAGATTTTTTCCATAAATCTGCAAGAGAATTCTTTAAGATAACGAACAGTTGTAGGATCTTTTTTGAGCATGAATGTTATTGACACTGATCTTCGATATGTTTAACTTTCCTCGTGTTGATGATTTTGTGGCTCAAATTCAATCCTGAACAGACAATGGAATCATGTTCGAAAATGGCTTCTGCTACACAATTAAAGTCTTGTAATTTTTATTAGGATGATCAAAATGATATAGACACATATATCCATCAATGATAAAGTATCAGACAGACATCAGTTTTAATCATGTTGTTTATACTGAGAAAATATTGTACATATTCCTGATATTTGTTTATTTAACTTCATGAAAAATACAAAGTTTTTTGTAAGTGTCCATTTTTGTTTAATTATACATCGATTTCAATTGATTATATCAGTCATCTTAAAATGAAACTGCTGTAGCTCAAGATGATGAAATTTCTACAGTGCATTATTATTTGTTATTAACTAGTGGATACATTCATTCACATTTCAAAACTACTATTTTCATTTCATTTATGATTATATAAACTCTTTCATCATTGGTATGTATCGACGTAAAATTTGGTAGTACTTCAATATCATTGTTATTCATAAAATCAGCAACTAGAGCATAAAAACTGCGATAACTTCAAGTGAGTTATCGAATCAAAACCAAACTATCTTCAACCATTATTACCAGCCGCACCAATATTCAATACAACATCTGATAGAAATCAATACGTATAATGTCGAATTTGGTGATATTATATATTTATTCTCCATCAAAAAAAAACACATTTCGAACAATAATTTTTTAAATAATGATAACGAATGTAACGAATATATCGAGTATATACTAATCAGAAACAAAGTACAAATAGAAGATAAGATAGGAATCTCTTTCATAATTACTTAATAGATTGTTGACATACATTTTTATCATAGAGCTAACATTATTTTAATAAAGTCACTTTCCAGAAAAGTATCCGACTTGTTATTTTGACTATGAGATCATACTTTGCTTTTAGGTAGATCAAAATCTAAAAAAAACAACATTCTTCTCTAAACTCTATTTTAACGAACTTTTTATTTCGAGCAAAAAATAGAGAATCATTCATTTTTTTTTTTTTATTCAAACTCTTTCTTTGAACTTTTCTAAAACAAAATAAATGATCATGAATGTTCATAAATAATTACAATAAAATAAGTATTAATATCATCTTCATTAATGAAAGTTATTTTCTCTCTGATAGTATAGGATGAAAATCCCATAAATAGACATTCTTTGATTTTTAAAATAATTCAACATCAATTATGGATCTTTATGTTATTTTTTTGTGAGACACGATCTAAATGCAATATTGAGGTATAAAAGTAAAAGCTTGGACCCCACAGATGTCACAGATACGTTAGAAATGACTGATCACAGACGTGACTGACATCCATAACAACGTCTGTCCTTCATCATAGACCTTGACAGATGTTGATATACGATTACATATTGTATATCAACAGTCTCGTTATAATATATGAAATATTTGCTTATTGCATTTTTAGATGATTAAGCAAAAGGATGATGAAGAAACGAGTTCTAGAATAGATAAAATAAAACAGTTTTCATATGATTAGCAACAACAGTTACATCGACGTAGACATTATAATTCTCCAGAGATTGCACTACCAACTTTTCTATTTTAATTAACGACTAACAAATTCAAAATAAATATGAAAACCATTCTTTACATAAAGGAATACGTACGATATGTATCCTTACTAATTACCATAGATTTATCCGTCAAAAACAAAAAATGTATTATTGTTTTCTTTATTCGTCATACTATTATAAATATTTAATCCTCCTCTTCATATAGAAGACCCGAGTCTTATGAAAAAACTCTTTCTTTAAATCTTGATAATCTTTTTTTTCCATTAATCATATTTATTAGAGAATAAAAGTCCTTAAAATATAGAAGAGAAAGTAATAGGTTGTGTATGTATAATGAGAATATATTTTCTTCAGAGAAAGATAAAAAGCTATTTTTAGCTAGAGTGAAAAAAGACATAGCTATAAATGGTAGGAAAATAGAGAACGAATAAAACTAAATTTTATTGTATCAAAAGTAATATACACTTAGTAAATACATATAATATGAATGAAAAATAACGTGCATTTCTTTTTAATGATGAAAATTCAAATTTCGATATTTATAAAAGTTGTAATGATGATTCAGTTGTTAAAATTACTTCGACCATCGATGAAGATGAAAACATTTATCAATATGTCATCAATTGGTGTCCGAAGACGATAATGATGATGATGATAATAAAGAAAAATAATATTATGACAAGAAATATAATGGTCAAAAAAAAAACTCACATTAGTTAGCAGTAATCAATAATAACAAGAATGCAATAGTTCACAAGGGAATCTCTTCAGTTTCTCCCTTTCGATTTCAATAATTTTTTGCCTATAGATACTACCGTAGTGTTTTAATAAAAATCTTAAAATGATGTTAGTTTCTATTGAGATTTGACTAAGCTATGAAGTTTCTTTTAGAAATTTCAAGTTTTTGAAAAACTTGTATTTTTAAATTTTGATCTGAAACTTTGTGCATATAAAGAATTCAATTAGGTTAGATGCCATAAAAAAAACAGGAGTTTTCTAAAAAACTGGGAGATTCAAGAAAAAATTCGATTGCTTAATCGACTCTCAATAGGGCATTACATCCTATTAGAATTTTTATTAGAATACTATGTAATATCTATAGACAAAAATATCATTAAAAACCGAGAGGAAGCAATTGAGAAGGTTTCCTCGTCAGGTTAGATCAATTGATGAAAAAAGTGAAAATCAACTGTAGTTCTTTTTATTTTTATCATTGAAATATAATTATAGTGAACTAACTAAAATTTAATAAACATATTCGACCTTGTATGGATAGAAGTTCATATTAAAAGATATAGAATCTTTTATTGTGTGAAAGAGTTTACTTAAGATATTTTGCTTCTATGTTTATTAGAGAGATACCCGTCAGTCTTGAAAAATTTTCCTTGTTCTCCAAGAGAGTTCTAATGGTTTATTATCTTTCTGCTTCCAATTTCAAAAAAAAAATGTCTACGCTTGCCCGCAAAATCTAGTCTACTTTAGTTAATGTCTTCTGATCGATCCTCGAACCATAGACAGCAAAGTCACGAGGCCTAGGTAGAGTAGAGTCCAACTTATAGTAGATAGATAACGGCTTAGATAGACTATACTCATTGAGAAGAATTTTCTATTACTGTTTAGTTTTCATTTTCTTCTGATAAAAGATACTTTGCTACAAGATCAATCCACACTTTATCTACGAACAATAGGTGTTCAATAGGTATAGACAGCGGAGCCACAAATCTTCAGAAAGCAAAAGCTTACTCTAGATTCATGCTTTGTAAGCTAAGGTAGGCTCAAGCACTTTTCTTCTTCCATCGAATTATAGATTTGAGCAACGCATGACATTTTTTTGTACGAACGACAATATTTTTTTGCCGTCTTCGGCAGTTAATAATAACATATTCTGATTCAAACAAACTTAGAAAAAGTTTTTGAAGACTCATTGAGTCTTGTACAAGTGAATAAGAACTTTACAAAAGATCTGAAATTCGTCATTAAAATTTTTTTCCGGTAAAGCAGATAAGACAGCCTTCTTCTGAAGGCTGCACGTTGCAAAATATGAATTCAATAGAAGAGACACTAATCGTATTTCATTTAAATGGCATTCAAGTACCTGTCTTCTCTCATTTTTAACTTCCAGATGAGAATCTTAGTAAAAAATATTGAACCTACCCGAACCAAAACATACCGTCCTCTATGCTCGCAATTCTGGTGACTTTGAAACACTTCTTAACAGCTAAGATAAGAATTTTAGTGACAAATATCTTCTTAAACAATAATGAAATAATAATGTTCATCAGACTAATTATTGTGAGTTCTACTTTTAACTATTATTAGTATTATCATTTATTTATTGTTTATGTTCTTATCCTACATGCAAATATATTGAAATAAAAGGCACTTATGGTTCCATGAAAATAACATTTGAAAAAGAACTAGCTAAAATATTTGAAACACATTTAACCGAACAAATAATTCATGTAAAAGTACATTTATACACACTAATATCAGTAAATTATCTTCAAAATAAAAACATATAGAAGATAATGAAGTTCATTCATATAAACATACTTCATTCTTATAATACTTTGTGTTTCTCTTTGTATCTTTTTAACGACACGAAGAAAAAAAAAAGAACAGGAAATGAAACTGCAACTGAATAAAAAAAAAAAGAAAAGACAAAAAAAAAAAGGTGAGTAATAATAGTAATAATAACGAAACGAAAGCAAACATGCACACATATTATAAATGGTAAAGTACGTAAGTGTACAAGAATAGAAACAAAAAAAAAAAGAAAAAAGCGAGTTTTTCAGTTTAGCACTGTTTATTTATCAAGCAAATGGGTCATAAGGATAAGAATAAAGAATAAATATTTCATGATAATATTGGTGGGTTGCTTGTTGCAACTGTTGTTGTAGTTTCAGTTGTCTGACCAGCAGCATTTGTAGCAACATTAGTGTTAACTCTTCGTTGTTCTTCATGTCGATGTGATGAACCGAATAGACGACTAAAAAAATTACGAATTGCAGCTATTGGACCACCTTTACTAGCTTTTGCTGTAGTTGGTGCTACTTGTTCAGCTGTAATTGGATCGGGACCATGAGCAGTTTGACCAGATGTTTGAGTAACATATGCTTCTTGTGAGATATGATCCGTGCCAGAAGATACTATTGGTGCAGGTTGAGATGCAGTTGAAGATGTTAATACTTGTTTACCACTATCCAAAAGAGCACTTGTTTTTTCTATGAAATACAATTGATAAAAATATTTTCTGCAAAATCCAATGTAAAATTTTACCTTGGATTGTCGATGCTGCAGTTTGTGCAGCTGCTACAGTAGTATTTTTTGCTTCGACAGTTTTTGCAACAATTGCACTGGCAGCATCAGCAGCTTTTGTTTCAACAGTTGTTAATAATTCGCTAGCTTTTGCTAAATATAAATAAGAATAATGTCAAAGATGTTTTTTTTTCTAAATTATACAAACCTTGGGCACTATGAGCAGTTTCAACAACTTTTGTTTGTGCATCACCTGCTAATTGTCCAGTAGCTGCTTTCACATTTGAAGCAGCACCAGATGCTAATTCTACTCCATGTTTAGCTTTTTCAGTCACAACAGCGGCACCAGTAGAAAGTGCGTGTTGTGTTGCACCAAGTATTTCAGTACCTTTAGCTTTAGCGTCAGATGCTTTTTCACTAACCGTTTGTTTGGTTTCTTCAGTTTTATGTTCAGCTAATTTAATTATATGAGAATATGTATGATAAAAAAAAAACATCATAGAAAAAATGTTTACCGATTTTTTCAGCTGATTCTAATTTATGTTCAACTTGCTTTTCTGATTCGTGTGATTTAGAATGAGAAACAGCACCAGATGCTAATTCTATTCCATGTTTAACTTTTTCGCTAACAATTGCAGCACCGGTAGCAAGTGCATGGTGTGTTGCACCAAGGATTCCAGCACCTTTAGCTTTAGCTTCAGATGTTTTTTCATTAACCGCATGTTTGCTTTCTTCAACTTTTTCTTCAGCTAATTTAATTATATGAGAATAGAAAGTGTTTCAAAAGCCCGAACGAAAAAAACCGGTGCATAACTCCTCAATAATTCAAGCGATTTAAATATTTTTTTTTACAGTTTGATCACATATCCCAGAGATGAAAACGTACCGACTACTGGTCGATTAAGCAGTCGTTACTCTTGTAGAATTGTGGAATAAATTTTACTTTGTATAGCTTTAATAAGAGATGTTATAATCTCATGTCCTGTCATTTGTAGTAATGAGCAAGTTTGCGTGATAGATTGAATACTGGATTCTAACTCATTTTTACAAGCATATTTAACATTGTTAACTTTTTCTTCAGTAATTACTATAGGTCTTCTAGAACTTGATCAATTTTCGATAGTAACTGTTTCATAAAACCGTTAATATCAGGCAAGTTTAATAAATATGTCATCCAACAGTAAAACACAAGGTATTCAAACTCCTTGAGTTTATGGAGGAACTATTCACGTTTTTCTCCTTTCAGACTTTTAGAAAATCCTGTATGTGTTTAAAAAAAAGCTATAGAAATATGTTTACCAATTTTTTCAGCTGATTCTAATTTATGTTCAACTGATTTTTCTGGTTCGTGTGGTTTAGCATGAGAAGCAGCTCCAGATGCTACTTCGATTCCATGTTTAACTTTTTCGCTAACAATTGCAGCACCGGTAGCAAGTGCATGGTGTGTTGCACCAAGGATTCCAGCCCCTTTAGCTTTAGCTTCAGATGCTTTTTCGCTAACTGCATGTTTGCTTTCTTCAAATTTTTGTTCGGCTAATTTAAATATACAAGAATTTATAGTACGAAAAAAAAATCATACAAAGAATTTTTACCGATCTTTTCAGCTGATTCTAATTTTTGTTCAACTGTATGTCCTAATTCATGTGCTTTAACATTCGCATCATGAGCGGCATGTTTAGCACTATGAACTAATTCGCTTGATTTTTCTAAATATGATGTGATTAAAGTATTATTTTGTATTTCATAGACTTACCCAAAACTGTATGTTTGGCTGCAGCTAATTTCTCTTCAGCTGCTTTTTCACCCGCAATAAAAGCACCTTTTGTATCAGCAGCTAATTCACTTGCTTTGTCTGTAAAAAATAAATATTACGTCAACAGTAAACTGATGATTGATGGAATTTACCTTGCGCGTGATGTGCTACTTTTTGGACTTTTTCTTGAGCACCATGAGCAGTTTCAGCCGCGCCATGTTGCAAATCAGTAGCTTTATCTAAAAAATATTTCGTATATTAAAGGACTGAATAAGTGTATATAATAATGGACTGCTCTTCCATAAAGTCTTAGTTTTCAGATGGAGGGTGAAAATTTTCGTATGATGGTGGAAATAACCCCCAATGACAACTGTAGTTTGAGCTCATGTTGGACTCACACACAGATCTTAATGAACATTGTAGAAATCTGAAACGGGGTGCGTCCTCATGAATCTCTGTCGTCAAGTCACAACTGTTCTACATATTTTGACTAATTCTTAGGTACTCTCATCAAAAGATTTAATAACGTATTTTGAAACTCAAATTTTTTTCTATTAATAGGTTTGATTACTGTTGAAATATCTTAAAAGTTTCAGCTGAGAAGAATGTTTCTTCGTCAAACATTCTTTTCGGCTGAAACTTTCAGAATATTCTAAGAGCTATTCGATCTATCTATAGGCAAAATTTTGGATTGAAAATTCTGTAAGCTGATCATAACTTGGCAATAAAGGACAATGAGGACGAATCCTTTCATGCTTCTGCTAGTCTCACTGAAACTTGCTTGTGGGCCCAATATGAGCTCGAATTAGCGGTTATAACTCGTACACTTCGACTGTGTTGAAAGATGCCATACTGTTATCACTAGCATCGATATCAGAACGTAACAAATATTGAAAAAGCCTGTTGTAATATATTTTGACTCCGCTGTCAAAGGGCTAAACACTTCTTATCTTCGATAAACTGAAAACATTACCTTGAACACCATGTGCTACTTTTTTAGCTTTCTCTTGAGCATCATGAGCAGCTGCAGATGCATCATGTGTTAATTCAGCAGCTTTATCTGAAGAAAAAATATTTCATTTATTGAAGGAAGTAAAAAACATATAAAATAATGGTCTAGTCTTTCACGAAATCTTAGATTTTATTATGAAGATTTAGATAACTCGTCGCATGATCATACTCAATACCAGACCAGCCGACGTTTTATTGATTTTTTTCAGAACATAAAAGCTGACTTGTTTTACTCGTTTTAAAGGATTGCCATAGTTTCCATGTTCAAGAGATATTAGTCTAGAAGTCTTCAACCGACAAACAGCTAGTCATCACGAAAACTCCAGCTCTAAATATTAAGCTAACACTTTCTTATCATGCTCATAAAAAGTTAACCAGGTATTAAAAATTAATTTTGCTTTAAACTAAAGCTTTTTCATGTTGAAATGTCGAGCTCACTTTTTTTTGAACTAGTTTAAACCGACTCTCATAAAACTCCAATATCAACTAGTTTTTCGTTTATGCTTTCAGTACAAATCCTTAGATGAAATTCCATTCTGTTGTCAAAATCTTCTCAACAACTAGCATCATGCAACTGTGAAATCATTTAGGTTTTATAAGAACTCTAGTATAAAACCGTACTATCTTTTTATGAATTAAGATGACTTTCAACTGTGTTAAATAATTATTTCGAATAATAATAGATTAAACTTATCATTTCCAAAGAAATCAACCAACACAGAGTATAGACGTTAGTTGCTACATGAAACATAACGAATTAAAATTGAAGTTGGTAATATTAAAAATTTCAATAGTTCTATAAATATTACATTGCACAGCTTCATAAAACTGGAACAATAGATTGTTTCTTGCTGATTAAGTTAAAACTTTCAAACGGTTCTCAGCATAAAGATGATGAAATTCATGACATGTTCTACATGTCTATTTTTAAAGTTATAAATTTCATGCGCTCTTTTACTATATATAAAAAGCTGAAATGTCGATTCGATTATTTTTCAGAAGATAATTAGCCTTCTTAAACACTTCTTATCTTTGAGAAACAAAAAACCTTACCTTGAACACCATGTGCCACTTCTTTGCCTTTTTCTTGAGCATCATGAGTGGCTGCCGATGCATCATGTGTTAATTCAGTAGCTTTATCTATAAAATTATCGTATAAATAAGAAATGTATCAGATAAATGTCTCACCTTGAACAACATGTGCAGCATCTGTAGCTTTTTCTTGTGCTACATGAGCAGTGGCGGCTGCATCTTGTTTTAATTCATGAGCTTTATCTAAAAAAATATTTCGTATATTGAAACAAGTAATAAGTATATAAAACGATGGACTCGTCTTTTGCAAAATCTTAGGTTGTGTATGGAGATTAAAAGAGCTCGTAAAATGATGTACATCATAAAATATTCCCAGTAAATGTATGTCAAAATCTACAGCTCTCACGCGCTTCTTTGCCTCATATAGAAACCTAGAGGTTCGAATTAGTTACATGTCAACAGATAATTAGGTTCCTTAAGAGCATCTCCTTCGTTGAAATACTTCTAGTTCTCTACAAAAGTTCGACCAATCGAACCCGAATTTTTGCCACAGTTAAATTATCGAAAATCATGAGACCCATGTTCGATAAAAAAATTTTCAAAGTAGCTCTTCAGGATTTCTTAAAGATCCCTGCCACTACCATTCGGTGTGCTTATAATTTTGGTCTTCTTTTATGCAATCAAGCTGAAATCTTGTATCACGCATCTCTAGAAAAAATTTCAGCGTGTTCGATTGTGCTCTTGTAGAGTACTCTTAAATAATTCCTATATTCGAGAAACTAAAAATCTTACCTTGAACAGCATGTACTGCATTTGTAGTTTTTGCTTCTGCTGCATGAGCAGTAGCGACTGCGTCTTGTTTTAATGCAGTAGCTTTTTCTATAAAATATGTTCGTTTAAATAATTACGTATAAACAAAATTCTACCGTGAACATTATCTGCAGTTTCTTTCGCATGTTCCTGAACATTATGAGCAGCAGCAGTTGCATGTTCACCAGTTATATTAACTGCTTCATTCCATTGATGTTGTGTGTTATCAATTACCTCATTAGCTTTATCTATCACAATAAAAAAATACATATATTATCATTATAACACTACATTATTACCCTTAATTTCTTCAGTTTTATTTTCGACTGGTACAAGATTTTCATTATTAACTGTAACATGAATATCTTCTAAATGATGAGGAACATTTGCATTTTCAATAATTATTTGCTCTTGTTGTTGATGACTTTCGCCGTGAATGGCTACAATATTATCAATAAAAGAAATAATAAGCTTCAATTGAACTGAAGAAAAAAATAATTTGTATAATATTTTTACTTTGTTCATCGGGTTTATGTAGATGTACTTCAGTCGAGGATGTATTGTTTTCAGCCATTGTTATTTGTTAAAAATAAATCTAGAGAACGAACAAAATCATAAAAAAAAAGAAAAAAAACAAGTAGGCAAAAAATAGTGAAAAGTATTAAGCACAGCTGTAATCAAGAACAATTTATTATATTCTATTATTCGAGCTCACACTGACACAGCTGTACATACTCCTCATTTTCTTTAACGGTCTGTGTCGATTTGCTAGCCTAAAGGAATCGATATACTTATTGTGTATGCATACATAAAATATCTGAAATATAAGATGAACGACTCTAAAGAGAAAGAAACAAAAAAGAAAACGAGCTGAGATAGAATGAATAATTGTATGATCGGGAATTTTGGCAGCTTGTTATCTTTTAACAACAACAAAAACAACAACAAGTAACCGCCTGCCGCCGTTGACCTTCTTTTTTTTTTTTATTCATATATATTGTACAAGAAAGCAAAGGAGAAATATGAAAGAAAAAGGAATGCTTCACTACACTGACTAATCTACTATATACTAGACAAAAAAAAACAAAAAATGATGTATGAAGAGATCATTTTTTTAAATAAATGTGTGTATGCATGATCAACTGACCTTAACTTTTCTCAAAAGATGGACATCATATCTCAACTGTATGGCGTATCATCAATGAAAGAAGAATAGAGGAAAGAAGGCCAAAGTTTATTTTGGCTCGCTGTGCTTCTATCTATCATATCTGTTCGTTCCTTTCTCCAGAGAGATACATACAGAAAAGAAAAAAAAAGACAGAGAAGTGCAAACGAAAAAAACAACAGAGAACTCAGTACTCTCACCCACTTCCTTGAATGACGACACTAAGATCGTCTAATGAATATATACGCGTTTATCGGTTTCTAAGCGCATGTTGTAGGATCAAGCAAAATAATAACTAGACTCCATTTTTGTATTTTGGGTGCCGTTTTTTTCCTTCCTTGTCTAACAAAAAAACGGCGTCTAACTTGATGACTGCTTCTGATTCCATACACACATATACACGAAGAACGAGTGAAGTAATCTAGAACTATTAATGGTAATAGTAACGACTATTCTCATAGTGTGCATGCAAGCATGTATCCTTGATGAATCAGCTCGAATAAGTTTATGTCAAAAAGACAGTAGAATGAAGAAAAAAAAAAGAACAGCACATACTCGGCATGAATGAAATGACGCAGTAATTTCTTTCTCTTTTTTTTTCTCGTTTTCTATTATGTTTAAACAATATTACCGAGAAAAACTTATGAAAAAAAAAGGAAACTATGATTTAAGTTTAAAAATAGAACATGACACATATGCTTGAGCACATCTTTTGATGAGAACAAATAACTTTATTTTGATCAAAAAATTGTTGATGTCAATAAAATGATTAGATAGATGATGTGTGAAAATAATTAACAATAATAGTCATTCATTGTTACACAATTGAATTATTGAATTGATTGATTAGCAATAAAATAATAATATTAATATTTATTATTTAATCATGATTAAATTACTGTTATATATATATTTTCAATTTTTCATTTATATTCTTTTCGACATATAATCAAAACAATTTTTCAATACACATTGATTACAAAAAAATAATTGCATTGGGACAACAATACTATATATTAGTATTCTTGTACGACAAAGCATTGCATATGTCATCGAGTCATTGATATTGAAGGTTGTCGCATTGCTGTAAAGCTATTTTTAATGAAAGCAATATTCCATATGAGATAGAAACTGATTGAAAACAAAACAGAGACGAATATCAAATATTAAAATTCATTGATATTGATTAATTTCATATTTTAATAATATTTATTCATAGAAGCTACTAATCGTTGTTTTGCTTTATTTTTTTGTTCGGTACTTATTTCTTAACTTTTCATGAATTAAAATCTATTGTAATTTATTTTTTTAAACTTTTTATACTATTTGTGAGATCAGTACGACTTATTGACTTGATATGAGACTCTGAACATTTTGTAATTATCAATCTGTTCAATCAACATGAGCATGAAGCAATTGTAATTTTGTTGATTTATATATTCAGGTATCGAGATCAAAGAACGACATAGGACAGTTTTTTTCGTCCAGCTCTGCATTCTGTAGCACATTATTTCCCACGAGGAAACATCTTAGACTGCCAACTCCTGATTTCACTAATTTTCTTTCACCTCTAGATACTACATAGTGCTCTAATAAAAACCCTAAAAGGATTTAGGTTTCTATTAATATTTGAATAAGCTAGAAATATCACGTTTTCGAAAAACTCGTATTTTCGAATTGCAGTTTGTAACTGCTCTATATTCATAAAGTTTCAAATAGTAATTCGATAGCTTACGCAAATCTTAATAACAATTCAAATCATTTTAGGTTTTTTATTAGAGTATTGCAGAACAAAGGATCCTCCCACGTCTGATCTGCGGAGTGATTTTTTTTGTTGCATATGTGATAAGGACAAAAACTTGTTTGTAAATGAAGTACTATGTCAATGATGATAGACGTAATGTTTATACAAAAATCATTTACCATATAATCCTGTTAATAAATCTTATCAAATGTTTTTCAGCAGAAATAAAATGAAACATTTTTTATATTCTTGACACCTATCAGGTGAATAAAACAAAGATAAAGACAAAGGATTCAAAATTATAACTAATATAAATAGATGGGCAATAAGAAGAAATATGTTTTCCTTTTATTGCGTTTTCTTAGTTTCCTCGTTTGAACGAATAAATAATATGTTATTAATTTGACTTGATGATAAACATATTTGTCCTTGAGTAGATGTCAACCCAACTGAGCTAAATAATCGTTGCATCGAAGCAGTAATAGCTAATATGGCGTCTACTCTTCTGACTACTATTCGTAATACTGAAAAATCACGATGAATTTCACTAATAGACCAGCTATTCATTAGATCACGATCGATATGATGACTTGGGTGTTCTGTGACATTTTCTGGTTGAGATTCACTTTTATAACGTACTAACATCTGGTTGTACTCAACTTGTAGCTATATACTACGGCAATATTATTTTTAATCCATCGTACTTTTACTTTTTCTGCTAAGCTATCGTGTATCATGTATATCTTTGATTATGTCATTTTTCCAATCCATTCGTGCTGACAATTTTAGGAAGAAATATGTGATGATAATCCCTTGTACATTAGAATATAGTAGAGATTTTATTTCTAAGTTCTTTATATTCAGTAGAATTTATTGAAGTATAGAATGAAACAAAAAGTTTTAACGTATTTAATTCTGATCGGCACAATAATTTCATTGTTTAATTCTATGACAATGAACATGATACAGTAAAGTCTCCATTAATGAACATAAGTGCAATGTTTTCCTACTATCACCTGTTTCTTGTCAACAATCAGTATGCATATTTTATGCCTGACTCAACTGCTCTATGTCTAAAGAACAGAAGAGCATCACAATACAAGTTTATTTTGCAAGAAAAAATTCAATTAAATAATGAAATAGAATCAAACTTAATTGATATCCATATTATTTCAAAAGTGGATATAGCCAGATGTTTCAACTAAGATCGTATAAAAGCAGATATTCTGAAACAGCACCTTCGTTTCACAGTAAACTATTTGTCAACTCTCTAATCTGAACACTTCGGCATAGCAAACGATTTTTAGTGATCTCGATACTATTCACAATAGAGTATCTATTGTGTGAAAAAAAGACAATGTCACCTGGAATGGAAAATTTGAAAGAAAAACTAGATTTGATCAAGTTCGTCTGATATTTCGATATACTAGATATCGAGTTACTACTGTCAGAAGAAACATAGATAGATATGCACAATGAGACGATTTATTCAAGCAAATTACAGTCAATATTCCGTAATGCAATGAATATCAAATTTACGATCTCATCTAAAATAGTGTCTACTGTAGTTACTAAATATATTATCTATTCGTCTGCCAAGTTGAAAATGTAGAAGAAATTGGTGTGTATAATGAACTAAGTTTGAATAGTTACAAATAGAAATATTATCATCTGTTACAGTTTGAGATTTCATTGTTTCAAAAACAGACTAACAACGAAACTGCATCATATGTTTCAATAATATAACTGTAGACAAATTTTCAGGAGTGAGTCATATATCTTTTGTTTTGACGCTAAAGAATAACCGAGTATTGATTCATTTTGTGTAACAATCTATTGTAAACAAGTAAGAAAGTTATTGAATACTATTTAAATACAATACCAGAAGTAGTAAGAAAACTAATAATATAATTAATTATATATAATAATGAGTAGAAATGATAGACTGACATTTAGCTAGTATTCCCATGTTAGCAAATATGAAAGGTTAACAAAACTTTCTCTTAAGAATTCGACTTTCTTCTACTGATACAGTGTTATTCAATGATTTTGTAAGTCATATCACATGTTTGTCTATACTACCGCTAGAAACACTTACGACTTTCGGTTTCACCTATAAAGGATTGCATAGAGTGTTTTCTCTCCAAAGTCGAATTAATCAAGAAGAAAATAATTTCAGAGTATATTTTATCAATAAAAGTTTTTCTCATAACCTGGGTCGATTTAGGCTGTGGGACTAGTATAGGCAGCTAATATGCATCGAGAATGACTCAATTCAATCAGTTTTAACAGACTTCAAAAGTATTGATCCATTTTGATACAATAATTTTAAAAAAACACCAGCTGGTATATCGATGATAGTTATTTATCATGTCGAAATACATAGAAAGGAAAGATTTACTAAAAAAAAGCGATTTGAATATGTATATTTATATAAAGTTATTCATCTGTGTGCAAGTAAAAAGAGAAGAGAACGAATAAAAATTGATCATCATCTATGCTTATTTTTCATACATTTTTTAAAGTTTCCAATCCGATTAGACGTTATTGACAGTTTGGAGCATACATGAACATTACGATTAATTACATTAATATTTTATACAGTCAACTGAAGAGAAAATATTTTCAAGTGTTAGAGCGCTTTTTAGCTTGGACTGTGTGCATC